GCGATTTTATATATATATATATATATATATATATATATATATATATATATATATATATATATATATATATATATATATATATATATTAGTCTGTAACAGAGCACCTTCTTGTTTAGCAAGAACGTGAGCCTTCTCACTCTACCTCCACCCAACTACCATAAACAGTAATTTGATTTCTAAACTATGCATTACGAAGTACATAATTAAATATCGCTACTCTGAGTTTCACGTCCTTTCTAGACGATCATCAGGCGATTTTATATATATATATATATATATATATATATATATATATATATATATATATATATATATATATATATATATATATATATAGTGTAGATTGGCTGCTTTATATAGCAAGAAAGTCGATGAAGTGTCTTTTCTGGACTCGTTTAGACAGATTTTGTACTAATTTGCTCCACAATACAGACTAATTTTACCAAACGATTATTATGTTTTTTAAATTACTATATTGCAACATGTAATTATACAGAGAAATCGCATAACCCATTAATCAGTTATAACTGGAAACATATACATGCACCTTTATATAAGTGTGCTTCTCCATTTGTATTTCGAGTTATTACAGATCATGTGACTGAAGTTGAGTTCCAGTATGGCCATCAGTACGATTGTTATTTTCAAGGAGTTGTCCCATGAGTATAGTTTCAAACAACATCATTGGAGCAGTTAAATTCACTCCCTGGAATTAGCGATGCTTATTTATTCCTAGATTAGTTTTCTAGCTACTCCATATATGACATGAAAAATTCAGTACATGACTAAAATGCAAAATAGTTAGTTTCCTAGATTAGTTTAGGAATTATGGTTTAGGAACAATTTCATTCATGATATATGATCGAACTTGTTAATGTTACTTTTTATGGCTTAGATGTATAAGTGCATGAGTCTATTATGCCTTAGAGGCCATGCATGCACGCATTATATATACGAGTAATACTCCCTTGCAGAAAGTACGTCACTTTGGCTATAGAGCCTCTTTTAGTGATTGAGACGTTAGCTTTATCAGTTTTTATCTAATGGTACACTGACGAAAACGAGACTCTTTATAGCCAATGAAAGTACTTTCCGGAAGAGTGTATTAAAGAAGATCTAACATATATACAATCATGTGGAGTATATATATATATGCATACTTTTATCGCGATCTAGACATTAATATAGCATTTATCTACATGTATACCCTGTTTTGGTTGAATTAAAGATTTAGCAATTAATGTTGCTTGAGTATGGGAATGTGAGAAATATACGATTTGGCTATAGCTGCATCATAGCGATTCAGACTTTCATATATCTATAACATATTAATGAATAAAGCACCATTAGCTATGTAACAGCAAAGTCCACCAGTTTCTCATTCGGAACAGTAATTTGCATAAGGATGATAATATACTATAAATTAATGAGTTACTCTCCAAACGTTTCGCAATCAAAATGGCTATTTATATATTGAAGGGCCCCCATATGAATGCATGTATAGGCCTATATACAGAGACCTTGTGTGGTATATTTTGATATATACGATATTATATATATACATATACAACAGTATATGTACTAGGATAAAAAACATATATGTAAGCCATATTTATACACAACTTTTGGCATCCCTTTTACGTCCAAGCACACCATGCAGCCTAATTTCTTTTCAATATTGGAATTAGTTTTATGTTTTCAACAATTTAATTATTGTTTGGCACACGCGAGGTAGATGTACATTGTTTATATTCTTCAATAATATACTTCACTTTCTGAAACACAATATATAGCAGGCTGGCGAAAAGTAAACAGTTATTTTCCTCAAATTGAACGTTCTTCCATTCTAAAGCTTGTCGATCACAAATAAAATAACATATAGATAACTACGCACAAACGCAACGACCTTTAACAATACAATCAGTCGGAAAGAGGCACCAGACCAGAATTATAATCCAAACTATGCATTTGGCAGTTGAGCATTCTCTCTACATCCATGGGGTGTATACATCCCTGCTGGTAATATAATTGTCGTTAAACTATTTGTAGAAATCCCTTTCCGCTACTCAATTTATCCCATTTTCTCTTTAAGCTGTTTTCTCGCCTGTCTAATATATTTAAAATATCTGTTTGTAAAGTTTTATGAAGTGCTGACATATGCTATGACAACTTGTAAAGAAGACTTATTATAGCACCAAGTTTAATTTTCGCACCACATTCGAAACAGAAGCACGTGCATTCTTATTCAATAGATTGGGGCGCTTTTGATTGTGATTTAAATTCTTTCGAAGCGCAAAATAGCATAATTGGTTGATGAGCCTTGATTGTGGTCACGATATAATATTATGAAGCACTTAAGACCGGAAAAAACACCGTAAAGGAGGACATTTATATTGTGTGCAATTTCATCAAAGAAGATTCTTGCAATAATGGTGATAAATATATAGAAGCATCAACGACTCCCTGGTATATACTGCTAATCATCGTACGGGCAAAACGACATTTCTTTGGAGAGGTACAATTTTATAAGTAACAATTGTACACATGCATGCAGTTATTTCGGATATACTGGTCATTAACATATGCAACTAAGTTGTTCATCTTTCCTAAATTATTCAAGTCGCCCACATCGGTAAAAGTTCAAACTATGTAAATACCGCATTTTTGTAATATCTTCACTGCTAATTTTTATATTTAACTACCTTTTTTCTCGCCTCAAGAGCGTTCTCTTGACTTCGATACTATCCATGTCCTCATGCTAAGCGCCGGAAACACGGTGTACTATATATATTAGATCTAGAATGCTATTGATCTTCCCGTTTCACAACGTCCCACGTATCGCATCATATTTTGGCGAAAATCGAAGAAAAATCCGTTGCGAGGTAGTGCTGTTTTGTTTACTGCTCACCACTGGGGAGGTGTACTGTTAAATTTATATCTGGATTTAGATATACCACCCCGAGGTAAGTAACACCTGTCCAAGAATGTCTAAACATTCAACCCATAGACATCAGCTGCACTATATATATCTAGAACGTTTATACATAATTATACTCTGGCGATATATATATATATATTGGTGGTAAGTTTGATTATTCGTTATATATATTTCTAAAAATATATAGAATATATAATTCCAGCACGTGTAGAATATACATGACAAAGAGAACGTCTTTCATCGACGAGACAAGTTTACCAACGCAGGAGTCTTTGTTAAAATAGTTATATAATATACATATATATAGTTAAAGATAGACATAAAGAAGTTCGTAATTCTTGTTATGCGAAAGCAATTTTGTTTCAAATTTTTCAAAGCGTTTACAGTAAATACCAGGCAATAATCTGGGTATATAGGTGTGTATCTGTATAAGCATTATATACTGCATTGGAAACATATATATAGAATATATAGCATGACCAACTTCAAGGGCCGGTTGTTTATAGCTTTCACGGGCTAGCGCTAATCCTGGTTTAAAATTTAACCTGCATCATGCCTGTTTGTAGCAAAACTTTAGAAAATAAAACTTCTACTGATTCTAAAAAAAATTGTGGAAAAATAGTTCCAAGTTTATTATTGCATTGACGTTTTTCGTTAAACCAGGATTAAGATAACCAGCTTTTGAACAAGCATGCAGCCGCATAAATGCATGTTAACCCTGACTTAATATATAGTCATAAAGCAAATCAACCTAAACCCGTCTACTTCATTTGCCATCTAATACATGACCTCTTCATACTTATATATATGGAATGAATTATTATTGTCACCATGCATGATAACTATATATTTTGAATCTGCTAAACTGATCGTGCTTAATTCAGTTTAACCTTAGTCATGAAGTATGTAAATACGAGTCATGAAGATATAAGCAATAATTATACTGACACTGTTGCATCTTCGATGCCGTGCGTCGGTTAACGTTGTGCTGTCATATTCCGTGGTATATACCATCGTCAAACTTGGCAGACATCGTCGCCCAATATTGAAAACATAGACATAAACACTTACGACTTACGTATATAATTCCTGATTAGTATTGGATCAACCATGCAGTGAACACGCTAAACGTGCTATAATATTAACTTATCGCTCTGCATAATTCTGGATATAAGAATCAATTTTTATTAATTTATAGTCTATTATACTAAGTTTTATCAGAACTCCTTAAAATTTTAGTCCGTCTATGTTTCATACTAAATATCACATAAGCCCAGGACAACGTTTGACAATGACTAGATTATATATTCTTTTAGTTTGTACTGCACTACAACATAAAAATGACCAATATTGCAAAGTCATGACAGCAGGAATCAGTCTCTTATGGTATTAAACTGATATAGACTACAAGTCTACAAGCTATAAATATATACATGCAAGTTTAGTATTTGGAACTGCACGATACTGAAATAATGGTTGAACAAAGATCAAGCCTGACGGTGATGACGCACTACAATTTCTCTAAAATGCACGCGGGGTATTTCTATTTTCTATATGCCATGTATTGGTTGCTTTTAATACTAGATTAGTTCTTCCAGACGCGTTTACCATTCTATAGCCTATATTTATATTGCACCATTTATCCCAACTGTGCATGATGTGATTATATTGCATTATTTTTACATCTTAACCACGTTAACCTTGAAATTACAACAAATACGTAAAATAATACCCCAAATTGATAAATCGTGTACAAATCTTTTACCCTAAATGAGGAAATAACTTTTGCCACTTACATGTTCGACGTCCCATGTCCATGCAGTGCCAGTAGGTTCTAGCAAAGCCTTTGGTTGCATGTGCTACACCCGCTATTTATTCCCGATATTCTTACTGAAAAAGGTTCGGTTGCTGGATGATATCGATAAAATTGTTCATACTGTAGGTACTGTACAAGTTCAATCTTATATGAAAGTAATGGGGATTGGGACGTAGAATAAAGAGTTCTTATTAGGCATAAAGTTGGCGTTTGTAGTGACTGTATTTTCAACCTACAGCCCATGCTGGAGCATGATGGTTGAAAAAACTCATTAGATGCAATATTTGTACATAATTATGTACTTCGTAATGCATAGTTTAGAAATCAAATTACTGTTTATGGTAGTTGGGTGGAGGTAGAGTGAGAAGGCTCACGTTCTTGCTAAACAAGAAGGTGCTCTGTTACAGACTAATATATATATATATATATATATATATATATATATATATATATATATATATATATATATATATATATATAATATATATATATAATTATTTAGTCAATATAGGCTTTGTAGTGATTTGAGTTGAAAAGGTTTGTCAACTGAAAACACGATCATGCATGTGAAAATTTCATGAACGCATGCAGTTTTTGAGCAGACTACCAGGCTCAACTAAGTTAGTGCCACAGGACCAAAGCTGATACACATGCAATGTAATAATATAATTAAATATATTTTGATTATAACCATTTTAAGCGAATATCTACGTACATCATACTTTCACTCTTTATAGAATCTGATTCAAACTTGACAGTTGATTTGGACCCACTAAACCGATTTTTCTAAACCCTTGGGAATGAGAGTTGATGAGAAATGATAAGCGAGAGCTTGAATTTCTCAACTCTCATGTCCTGCATGTTCAAGTAGATTCAAGTTATCATTCAGCTATTTGGTATTGCCGATCAAAGTACGAACAAAAACTGTCAACAACTCTCAGTATCAAAATTTGAACTAGCTCGTATAGTCAATGAGAGTTAGTGAGCATATATAGATGAGTGCGATAATTGCAGCTCTCAGCAACTCGCGTTATCTCTCATCTTGCAGCTATATATTTTTATGTCTATTTTTATGCCAATTATTTGGCAACAGGTATAGTCATCAGTATACACGCTGTGTGCATGGTCAGTGTATAATACTGCCCTTTTCTAGTTTTCTATGGAATACTATCGGCGAATCATGTTTGTACTCGGTAAACCGCAAATAAGTATACACCTTTATACATTCGCTGAGTGCAGCCAATTTATCCGTAACTCCATCCAACGTATTGCGATGTAACAATAGTGGCTTAAGCAAGCGACGTGTTTGTCAACACGCGGATGTCACCCGTAAATTGGTATAACTAATTTTGACGGCATTTTGCATCATGTTGAACATTACCACAAACTAACACAAACACAATCTATAGTCCAGTCTCCCTCGGCAACTGACGTCCGTGTTGACAAAGCGTCGCTTGCCTGAACTCACTAATGTACGATAACAGTTATGATATTGCAGGTAAAGGCGTTGTGCATGCTGTAGAGTATATATGAACAAGCTTTTGTTGGTAGGAATGCAACTATACTTATAAGGAGAATTTCAAAGATTGATGTTAAGATATTATAATATAAGAAATTACATTTTGTATTGCTTTTATTTTCAGAACGAATTTGAAAGGATAAGATCATTTGTTAAGGATGAAGTTAATTTTCATTTTGGTAAGTGCATGGATACTTCAAAGTGACTTAAGCCTGGATTGAACGAAGATGCATGAGATTTGGCAGTCACGCGAACTTGATCATGCAGCTGCTCTTAATGCTTTTCTAATACTATCATTCTATTATTCTAAGCTAAAACATAGTTGGAACACCCATTAATACAGAGCTTGAAATGTCGCCATAACAAATGTGTGACTGCCAGCTCTCATCATCGTTTGATGATTGGGGCTTTAGGGCCCGCTTGCAAAATCTTTTTGGAAAGGGTCACCGAAATTTTGGAACAATACAGTTTAATCAGTGTTGATATGAATATACATGAATAACTGCAGGAAAGATTAACAACACTGATATATAATGTGAATTGCATCTTTGTAACAGAACTACTGTATAGGTTGATTTCCGACTCGGCCTCATATATCCGAGCATACATGTCATTAATACGTTGCATGCATCGAATCAAAATCACACATCCTTCCAGAAAACACTGTCTCGTTTCGTGCAAGTACTGTAAGACCAATGGTCTTACACCGTGGCTTTAGATCTTGGCTTGTTATTGGAGACCTTGATACGGTATATTAACGTCATCATGCAGTTACAAGATAAAATGCTCTATAATGTCAGGATATATTTTCAGCCGGAAGGCGCGGATGTATTGTCAACTAATTAATTTTCTGATGAATTCGTTGATCATGATCTTAAATATTAACTATGACTATATCCATTGTTTTATCCAATGATAATCCATGCAGTCGAGAGCTTAACCAAACCTATATCCGTTACGTGTTTTCTTGTATATTACAGCTAAACACGTCTGGTTCATTGTACACTGTTTTTCTTTCCATACAGATCATTTTGGCGACCCTGGGAGATGGCGGGCAGAGTTGCGGCGAGAAAGAATACAGGCACGAGGGCATTTGTTGCGAAAAATGCCGGCCAGGGCAATATGTGAAAATAAATTGCTCTGCAACGAACCCCACAACTTGCGAGTCATGCAAGGTATACTACACATCAATGCATTCTCAGTTAAGAAGAAGTTACAGTAAGAGTCACTGACATGTGCCATGTCACTGCAAGATTTAAAATATGCCTATCAAAATATTCAATGTTCAATCAACCAAGCATGCCTTAATTTATCTTTCGTGCATGTGTGGAAAAATTAAGCGGCAAATAAGGCAAATGTACAAAAAATGCTTTAACATATGAATCGATCCTGTTTTCGGAGGAATAATTTCCTCATTGCCCATTCTAAAATTCCGACACGATGTCTACTTGTACAACTCCAACGGGCAGCGTAGATTAAGACATTTGGGGTGATACGGCAACCCACCTCGTGACGTTATTGAGGTCGATTGACCTGCAAAACGAGTGCCGCCTGCCGAGTAAAGGCCCTAGGTCTAGGCTGCCGAACGAGATGATTACTGAACATCGACAAAGTTGTGGGCGGTATATATTTATCCACAATGCTTTGCGTTCGTACAAAATGAAAGAAAGTATTTGACAAGCAGAAACGGCTTCAGTATAAATGATACAAATCGGTTGCAGGGTTATAGGCTTTGCTTTTTGCGTTAGGTTTAAGATTAGGTTGAAAGTAAATAAATAAAAACAAAAGCAATAGGATGGGGATGGCCTGTATTCGGCAGAAATAGTCAGGAGTGAATATAGTCTGAAACGAGAGAGCTTACGCCTGGAGAATGGCAATGTAAGTACGACGGCTATCAACACAATGACATTCATCATATATCACAAAAGAAATCAATAAAGAAATTAATATTGAACAATTGAATTAAAACGTCGTCCATGAGGCTCTGTTGATAACGGCAAAAAAATACATACTAGTTATTTCATTAAAGAGTCATTGTCAACCACAATGCATTTGTTTACATCTTATCCTTCGGAAGTGACAAATAGCAACACATGACGATTATAAACATTTCTTTGGTGAAATTTTAGTATAAAAAAAGTTAAAATGAGCAAGTATAACCATAGGATGGTCGTAATATATTATGGATTGAAAACCGTAACATCTATTATTCCTCCATTAAAATGGCCGCCAAGCAGGTTTGGGCGCACAGTGCATTGTCGTTGACAGTGACTCGTTAACAGAACTGCATGGATATAATTAAATACCGATAACATAGTCTATAATTTCTATATCTATAATGTTTAATTTCAATGGTTATTATGTAATGTATTTGTAATTTTATAGTTTGGTTCGGTTATGACCACATATAATCACAAGTCCCACTGTGACAGCTGTCAATATGTACAATATTACGATATTAATCTGTCGTATTGTATGAACTGCAGAACATGTCCCAAAGGTGAATATCCTGTGGAGAAATGCTCAACATTTCTTAACACGAAATGCGAGGAATGCCCGGAGGTAAGTAGTTGAAATACTTATTTGACTGCATTTGAAGGCATTTGTAATTACTGATATGTAGTAACCTTAATTATTTTTGAAAGTAAATGACGAAAGCGACTTTTAAGTTGAGCCCTGTCCTTCATTAGGGACCGGTCATTAATTACAGGGGGGGCTGGTGGAAAAAGAGGGGGGTCAGATATTTTTGTGCATGACTAAAAAGGGGTGGCCAAAATTTTTTTTGCAATATAAATATCTGCCCCGCATGACCCCTACAGACTATAAAACCTACAGATAAAAAATAGAGAGCAGTAGAACATTATTACTGTAGTAAACTCCAACACAACACCATTTATTAAACTGATTTCAACTTATAAAAACATGTCTCGTCTGAAGTTTTAAGTATTTTAAATTCATTAGCTACATGTAAAGCCACCGGATTGGATGGTATATCGACCAAAATCCTCAAAATGTCAGGCCCAATAATTTCACCTTGGTTAACTGTTATTTTCAACCAGTCTTTTAAAACTGGTATTTTTCCAAGTGAATGGAAGTTAGCGAAAGTTTTTCCATTATTTAAAAATAAGAAAGGAAATAAAAGAGACAACGCTGAACACTACCGCGCGATTCCAATTTTACCGATTGTGGCAAAAATATCGGAAAGAATCGTGTATAATCAATTATACAACTATCTTACCAAACACAATATTCTGTCGAAAAATCAGTCAGGATTTCGAACAAAACATTCTATCTTTACTAGTCTTTTACATGCAACCAATGAATTTTACACCAATGCTGATAACGGATTGAATACTGGAGTCATATTTATTGACCTAAAAAAAGCTTTCGACTCAGTAAATCATGAAATATTATTACGAAAGCTTGACCTGTATGGACTTAAAGGGGAAACTCTGCACTGGTTCAAAAGCTATCTTAGCGATAGGCACCAAAAATCTTTTGTAAATATGAAATTGTCAAATGAAGCTATTATTAAATGCGGTGTTCCACAAGGATCAATTTTAGGTCCATTGCTATTTCTAACATTTATCAATGAATTTCCAAAGCTGACCTTTATGCCGATGATATTCAAGTGTATACTGCATCGCAGAATATATCTGAACTTGAAATTAAGCTAAATAAAGATCTAGCTGAAATTGAAGTATGGCTTTGTGCTAACAGATTACAAGTCAACATCACTAAAACCGAATACATGTTAATCGGAACTGACTACAGACTAAGTAATTTGGACCATGAACCAGTCCTAATACTCAATCATAACATTCTCAAGCGAGTTTCAAAATAAAAAATATTAGGATTAATCTACGTATACGATGAGCATCTTCGTTGGAACGATCACGTCAATGAATTAATCGAAAAAATTACTCAAGCTTTAAAAATGATACGACGTGTTAGCTCTTTCATGTCCAGACAAAATCTGTTACTAATTTACCATATCTGATCTAAATCTTTTACCTCCAAAACCACTATAATTGTGTTAGCCTCAAGGGGGGGGGGAGGGGGGGGGCAACAAAATTTTAGCATCCAATTTTTCATTTCCACCCCCACCCGCCCTGTAATTAATGACCGGTCCCTTATTCAGCCACGCATGCTAGCTCTTAGCCCGCAGATAATATCTCCACTTACTTACTAACGTACATTTTTGTACAGAAAAATTTACGAACCCAATTAGAAGGCTAGCTTAATACTAGTTAAATCTAACGCACAATGTTGATTGTCTAACTTTGGAAAATACTATAAGATCTTATTTTATATTATAATTTTAATAGTTTTGCTTGTGAAAGTTTTAAAAATAAACTTCAAACAAATAATTTCAATCGACTTTCAACAAATAGTAATAATATATATTTTTTCAGAACCAGTTCTCAAATGTAACTGCGAACTACAACTTGACATGTAAGGCATGCAAGAAATGCAGGCAATACAAAAGAAACTGCACACCGGAGCAGGACGCCATATGCAGCGATCTTCAGCCTACGCTGCGTACGACTACGAAGCCGACTGTAAACATGGTGGAAAAAACATCCATCGTTGACAAGCTCGACACTACAGGTAAATTAATGGTTCATAACTATATAGGGACTTGATTTTAAAAGTTATATATTCGTACTTCTTTATCCTAACTTGTTAATAAGCATGGTAAAGGCACTTATTTCAAGGTACGTTGGAGGTCATATAGGGGAGCCCAGAGGTACTCTCCCTCGGATATTTTGCAATCTGACGTCCAAGGAATGAAAAAATCGTGCATTTCTGGAAGGCAGATTTCCCCTTTCGCCACTCTCCCAAGTCCCCTACCCACCCCGCTTCCTGGCGCCCCTGTTTACAAATATGAGAAAAGTTGTTCAAATACTGTAACTGGCTGCAGCTCCTGCATGGATTTTCCATCATAGGCACCTTTTTACCTGACGGTTTTTACCACAAAGTTACACTATAGTATATATTCATTAGTATAGCAACAGAATCCCTTGGTAGCTAGAAAGCACGCATAGCTATTTTATAGGATTTACTCATTTACATTGCCATGGAAATCGTAAAATAAGATTGACGAAAAATCGAATAACCGTTGTAATTTCAAAACATCATGCCTTTTTACCCAAAAGAGAACGAAAGGTTTAATTTCAATTCATTGTTTATAATTAATCTCTTTTCCACCATAGAAAAGACAAGCCCTCTCATAAAGGAGAATTCCTCCAAGCAGAACAACACATACTTGATTCTGGCTGTCGTTTTGTCTATTGTTTTCGTCTTGACAATAATATTAATTTACTGGTGTGCCAGGCGAAAGGCACGGTGCCAGGGTGGCGACGGATTCAACATTGTTCCTCGCAGTTTAAAATATGAACCATTACGGACAGGTAAAATCATCAACTATAGTTACGATACATATATTTCGGGCGTTAACTGGAATAATTGGGACGCAATTGTGATGCATTTTACAAATTGATATTATTTATTATTCATTGCGTGTTTTGCATGGCATTCAATCGTTTTTATTCTTCTCCACCATAAATCAACAATTCATCATTCAGGAATTTTTAGACTGAAATATTCATGATTAATAATTTGCTTTACCAGTGAACTAAGTAATCGATGAGTATTTCGTTTCCACTCCCGATAAGAACGAATTTGATAACAATCACTTGTGGTTTATGTAATGGTCACTTAGTTTATTAATGAATAGATCAATTTATTCATTGCAATTACTGTATGTATTAGTTGTGCTCTAATAAAGTGGATTAATCAGTAGTTAATCTTGGAAATATAAGGGAAGCTGGAATGATGGAAACATGGAAGATATTAGGATAATTTTCGTCTCTTCCGGCTTCGTGAAAAAGGTATTACTTCATCCCCGTTTCTATTTAAATTTGGCCGACACTAGTAAAAGAAACTGTTGCTCGAATGTTACAACTTCCACTATGTCCACACTGTCTGTTTTCAGTCACATTTAATGTTCATTTGGGCCTTAGGACAATGCAATTTGACAACAATAGTATTTCTAAATATCAGTTAAAATAAAGTGTACGGCAACTGAACTGTTCAATATCTTGCTTGACACAGCTTCTAAATCCAAAACATTTACATGTTATGCAAATACAGTATGTTTTCAAAATCCGCCATATTCATTTACATTAGAACCCAAGCTTCCGCGGTTCACACGAAATATAACCTCGGTGATTTTCACCAATAATAATAAGGTAGGATCATCCAATTGTTTCATCGTTCAAAACGAAAGGAAACCATGCTTCCATATATGGGACAAACGTGTCCCCAATTTTCTTATATGGCACAAACGTGTCCCAGAATATTTTATCGAGGCTGTTATATGATCTCATAAGATTCCTCACGCTAGGAACTATTTGAACAAGTCACGTGGTACAGAACCCAGACTGCCGATTGGGTTAGCGAGTGACAACGCCTACTTTGATCCTAAATATTTCGTGTGAACTGCGAAAGCTTGGGTTCTATGTAAATAAATATGGCGGATTTTGAAAATATACAGTATTTGCATGTTTTATGAATTTAAAAATGTTTTATGAATTTAGAACAGTTCAGGTGCCGTACACTTTATTTTAAAGGTGATCTACAGTCCGTATGTAAACAAAGCCTTTGTTTACATTTTTGCGTCCAAAATATTGAGCTTTATTCGACAACTATTTATATTTTCAAGCTTCTAGAGTATAATAAATGATCAAGAAACAACAATCAGGCTTTGCAAGAACCCAAAACATAGTTAAACTGTTTGTATCATAAAAAGTGGGCTCTTTTGTGCACATGCGCAGATCGGACTGTAGATCACCTTTAACTGCTATTTAGATATAATACTATTGTTGACAAATTGCATTGGTTCTAAAGCCCGTGATCCGTTAATTAATTAGCTGGATCGATATCGGCGTCGTTTGTGAATTTCCTTGAGAGTCTGATAAATAGATGTGTCCCTACATATAGGATGCCCGGTAATTAGATTCGACTGTACAATATTTTGTACTATTAAATTGTTGCCGTTACTGTAACCGCTCTACTGTTCGCTGTGCTTTGGTAACTATAATTGTAAGTGATGCGTAATTGCATGTTGGAAGCAACATAATAACGAACGTCAGAGTTAACACAGACAATTAATTTTTTAGGCCTCCTCCTACGGAACCAGCCAGCGTCCTTTCTCCTGAAACTAGCCGAGTATATCAATCCAGATAGTCGGCCGAACTGGAAAGACTTGGCAGCGAAGTTTGAAGACTTTTCTTGGAGTGAAATAGAAAATTTTGCGGTCGACAGAAACGCAGCGGCCGAGAGGATGCTGTGTGCGTGGCAGACTAAAAACACTGCCACACTAGATAAATTGCACCGATGCCTCACAAACATCGGAAGAGAAGATGTTGCCACTTATGTTGCTGAATTCGTTGGGGTGACTGGTACAGACACCCCAGTATAAATTATTTGGTTAAGGTCAGTATATATATAGAGATATTTATAGAGGTTCAGATTTGACTTCCACTACCGCTACCATTGCCTGGCTTAGTACGCATGCATCTGATTGGTTAATCGAATATATCAAACGCATCTGATTGATTGATGGTCTCTTATTGGTAGCGGTAGTGCAAGCCAAAAATTGAGCCTCTATATTAACATAGTATATTAACAACAACTTGCAACTCTATTACAATCATGGCCATGAAGGTGTTTCTAAAGTGTTCTATACCAATTCGTTTGCTCACAGGAACCAATTCCTTTCAGACGTTTGACAAATTATCTGCAACTCTGTGTATTTCTAGTAACTTCTTTAGGACTGGTCAAAACAAAAAAAACCCCGGTTATTTGGTGCATTCAACAGGGATGCATGTTTCTCAATCATACAGGAAGTTATCAAATCCAATAACTCCTGCAGCAAATGAATTGGTTCCTGTGAGCAAACGAATTGGTATAGAATACTTTAGGAACATTTCCAATTGTTGCAAGTTTTTGTTGAAGTTGCTGACACCATAAAAGAAAAGCTAACAGAAGTATAAATAGTCAAAATTAATTGACTTATTTGGGGGATATCGCTTATTCGTAAAATTACCGCCAACAAGGAAATGAGGTTTGTTAATGCTTTTTGTCAATCTGAACACATCGGGAGAAAAGATTTCCAAAGAAAGCGAAAGTCGACCGCGTGCCATTTTGCACTCACCAAATATATATCTTGAAATGTCCTAATCCATTTTATAGAAATTATATTTCCAACTAAATGAATAGAACATTTCTACAAAGAACACTTGCCTTTGGTAAATACCATAATGCTTTGGGCAATTGAGATTTATTCCATTGTCGTCAGTTTCTAGTTTCGATTATTTATCCTTCTTTTAGTTATATGCATGCATATTAACTTTTTAAAAATCTCAGTGAGATAATTTATTATGTAGTCCGTATATCTCTACATGAAGATATTGATATTTAAGCTGTTTTGACCTTTTCTATACTTTACAAGTATTACAGTTGTCAGTATATAGTTAGACTGCGAGCAGTCCCTTTTTAGAAGGAAAGGAGGGACTGCAGACAACACATCAAGAAACGAAATACGCGTTGTCTACAAAACGCAAAATTCCGATTGGTTGATATAGTTGATTGACAGATCTTTTTGGAAAAACGTAACTTAAATGTATTGTTTTACAAATTTGAAAGTCAACCGTCAAAGTATGAAATATTAATTACTGTAAATTTCGTAGCATTTTTCTTCATACTGTCTGAACGCGTTTATAGTATGTTATTTCGAGCGAATACAATTTAATGTAATACTGTGTATTTTTGCTTGTACATTATATAGTAATACTATATATTTTGCAATATCGATATGCGCTATAAATACTTATATTGGAGCTAAGGGGCGGTGCGAAAAGTGGGCGTGTTGTCTGCAGTCCCTCCTTTCCTTCTAAGGAGGGACTGCTCGCAGTCTAGTAGATAGTTGTTTATTTAGAATTTTGGTTGGTTTATGTAACTAAAGGTATGAACCTTTAGTGAAGTTAAAAAAATACTGGCACAGTGTACAGGTGCAGCTGCTATACATACGTTTATACTATTTGTGTAGTTGAAACCACATCGTTCGAGACGTATTGAAATCAAAAACGTGTTTAGCGAAATATTCATAATTTATTTTGGAGTAATGGTCTGTAAAACCATTTACAATAGTCTCATTTGAACAAAAATCAAAACTGTGAAGTAATTTTTACTGATCTCATTTTGTATCTTTTCGGTGAGATGATTATGTTTCACTGCTGGTAGGCAGTACTATAACGTCATGCATTGCATGGATGGAAGTTGATTAATTAACGTTTGTTGCACTTCCGAATTGGACCACATAAAATATTTGTTTAGTACCATGCAATACGAGTAAAACGTTGTCTTCAGAGTTTTTACACTTAAATAAGAAATGTTGTTTGGAAAATAGAAATTAAAAAAAAAGCAGGACAACTAATCTATTTTATGTGGCCTAGCAATAAACAACAACCTGTAAATGAAATTACTTTACATTTTTGACGGGTCAGTCAAATGAGATTTATAAAGTTTTCACTTCATGTCATTAACCAACGCTTGGTTATATTTGTTAATTTTAGCTCATATTTTTGAGCTCATACCCTAATTGCGATAGCTTTGTACTTTTATACATTGATTGCAAATCGAAAAAAATTCAGGTACATTTAGCACTTGTATTTTATTTGGAATTTAGGTATCTTTTCTCGTTTTTATTCGTAATTTCGCATTTTATACACATATAGTAGTTTTTCTACAAATCTCAGTCGAGTATTTTTCTACTTTGAAATGTACGTTTTCGATATAAGAATTAGTTTTCATATTTTATACACTGCTATAACTTTCGTATTCACATCGAAAACAATGTCCTTTATAACAGAATATTTTATAGTTTTTCGAATACTTTTTTCTTATTACGTCAAGCTATCTATACATTTAGTAATTTGTTTGTCAACATCTTTTATGTAGTACGTAATATTTACCGTAGGTCACAGGGTTACAGTTATTCAACAGTATTTAAAAGTATTAGGCCAGCAGTTTCGTTAGTATGAGAAAAATACATTTATTCTCACTAGTTTCCTGTAGTAAAATGAAAAACCAGCTGGTATTAGTCTTTGGAGATATCGAAGACTCGTAATTATCCATGTCATGTGAATAGATATTCTATCATTTGCACGGTCCAAATATTTCTCATGAATATTACGAGCAACAAGAGTATATGTTGGATTGATATCGTATTTCCTCATATCAGAATCTAGAAGCGGCCATTTTCTGTGCGACACTTTAGTGAAAACAGTGCTGCTATTCCATTTTCTTCGTAATCAAAGTTCAATGTTTACAAACAATGTACAACAAAATGTATACTGTTCTGCATGCGAACTTTCAATCAATGATTGACGACGTACTTTCCCGCAACATCGTTTCAATTTATGCTCTTGTTGGTTGTGATTTAAAGATTCACGTGATTTAAATGACACTGCAAATATATGCAATGGGAGAAATATATGGAATTGCTTTACTCACATTGACTTTGTAGAGAATTAGGATCAGTAATTGTCAATGCTATGAATTACCTGATAAGTCAGGTATATATATAGTTCGTATAAAAATAACATAAGCTGATGTACAAGTTTCTCTAAAATATTGAGATATGAAATGTAAGCCATACTACTTGTGGCACGAGCACCCTTACCAGTTTGTGCTCAACAACATATAAACATTAGAATGGTATACGAGATTAAATGCCAATTATCACGATTTAAAGCGCAAATCAGGACTACATTACTATCATGACACAGAATAGATTTGAAGTAAACTAAACAATATAAACAACTGATTTAACTTTTCCGATTCCTGGTAAATGTCCAATTGCCCGTGTATTGCGTTGTATGCGAAAAAAGAAAAGAAAATTGTCATGATGTTGTGCTTTAAACACGAGTGTGGTGATAAATTTAAATCTTGTAATAGTAAAAATGTAAATTAAATTAAGAAATAATTCTATTATATCATATAGTTTATGATTCTTAGATTACGGTATGTAAAGTAATTTTGGGATATGATTATTTATATAAGTAATATGCTGTCTATAGTTACTTCAAGTGACGTGTGGAACAGTTAAATATTTGGTAAAAATTCATAAAAAACAACTTGAATGAAGTTGAACTTAAATAATATTTTATATTTGTTTGTAAATAGATGAATTGATATTTTGTTATTGTTCGGTTGTGGTGTTAAAACAAATATACATTGCACCATATAAAATTTGCCTGTCATTCATTCTTATTCTACATTTAACAATTATTGAACGAGGTTGAGCATGATATGAAGAATTACCAAGCCAGAAGTTTGTGTTAGCAACCGAAGACTAAGGCTGAGGTTCATAAATCAAACTGAGAGCTTGATAATCCACCCTTCCAGAAAATACGTCACTTCGGCTATATAGTGCCCTATATATCCTATATTAGAGCGAATTAACATTTTAAAGAATCTGCCGATGGTTTTGTACCTGCATGCAGCTTAGTGGCGTGTGGCTTATGCATGAGCTCGGTGCTGGACCGGTGGGTGAAGCTCAGTTGCATGGGGGCAGCTGATCTGAGAACACATTTTCCACCCAAGATTGTAGTTCGTGTGCTCTCTGATAGTTTGTTTTATGTATCTTTAGAAGGCCGTTAGTTTGTTTGACCCCGTTCCTAGACTATTGGGGCAATTGCCCCCATTGACATTGCCGCCCTATTTCAGGTCAACGCTAGGGTTAGGTTTTGAATATGCATGGATAAAAATTGTTGAAAATCATTTTGTTTCTGATAGAGCTGGCAGTAGAAAATGCCATCCGTAAGGACTATGGACACAAATGTTGAGGGATAAGGATTATATATGGGCACAAATTAGAATCCAGTGCTCACCGACCACCAAGTGTAACCACTAACCAGACACAGTACTAAAATGCGGTGCCCTACAAATAAAACATCCGGCATTTCCGCCTACAAGTAAAGTTATACTTAGTACACTACATCTCCTGTCGACCGCCAGTTGGTCCGTACGCTTGGATTAAACTGCGCTTTATCAGTAATACAATTTCGCTTGACCTTCAAAGGCCATAAACCGCTAAGATACTGTTGTTTAGTAATACATTTGACATCCGTAAGTACAATTTCTTACGCTAGCGCTGTATCGAACGGTGGTATTTTTGTCCTTATTGGGCACATAAAACCAGAGATAAGGCGCAGCAAAAAGTCAATCGTGAGAGTCCGAGAATTTCCTTGAAAAAAAAAAAGAATTCAGAAAACGTGAAAGGATTATTCTGAGCGGCAAATCAATTTTGAAATTAATTGTCCATCCATAAATACAACTTTTTAACAGTAGTACTTTAATTTGTCCTTGTTTGGCGCATAAAACAAGATATAAAGTCCAACAAACAGTCGGTCTCAGGAGTCCAAGATTAATTAATTTTCCCGCAAAAATGAATAAATTCAGAGCACGTGCAAGGAATTTTTACTAGGCAATTAAGGAAACGTTTGATCCGAACAAACTCACAGACAGAATTATTATAAAGCGGTGCCAAACTTGACACGGGCACCGCAATTTGTGTTGTCATTTCCCTGTAATTTTCCGGCCATTCTCTCACTTCCTCTCGTTCCCAGCTCATTTCCCGACCATTCCCTTCCCGTTACCCATTCTGCGATTCCCGCCACATATGTTATTCTGCTGAAAACATCAAAAGGTATTCACTGAACGACAACGTGGTAATTTATTTACATATTAATGAACTTTACACAATAGGAAAACGGTTGCAACAATTAAAGTATGCTTCACGTAAAAGGTGTTCATCTTGCAACAGTCTTAAGACAATATATCAAATGTTACATTTCTTTACAGATCCGTATGTATACCTTTTAATTATAATCTTGTTTAATATCATCCTGAAATGAAGAGTAAGCGTAATTAGTAAATATATTCAAAAATCAAAATGCATTATTATATTATTTGTCGTTTAGACCACGTACACTGGAACAAATGTTTCCAGATTCGTAAATTCTCCTAATTCCTTGTTGTTGTTTTTCATGTATACAGATTCGTGAGGCGTTTACACTACACTAGTTTCATATTATTCTGACACTGCAATAGAGCAACGAAAAATTCGTTGGCTGGCTCGAGCGGGATTTGAACTCGCATCTTCGGGTATCTAGACCGCCGCTCTATATTATTCTGACACTGCAATAGACCAACGAATGTTTCGAGAATAATATGAAACTAGTTTTTCGTATCTCTGAGGATGGTTCTGAAATAGAATTGAAACACTGCGCGTCCTCTAAGACAAGCGTTAGTCGTCACGAAAATATTTCATGCACTTAAATTGGAGACTCGCTACCAATCCCCGTTGACTCGATAGCTAATGGGTAGAGCGGCGGTCTAGATACCCGAAGATGCGGGATCAAATCCCGCTATAGCCAACGAATCTTTCGTTGGTCTATCGCAGTGTCAGAATAATATGAAACTATAGTTTTTCGTATCTCTGAGGATGGTTCTGAAATAGAATTGAAACACTACGCGTCCTCTACGACAAGCGTTAAGTCGTCACGAAAATATTTCGTGCACTTAAATTGGATAAGACTCGCTACCAATCCCCATTCACTCGATAGCTCAATGGGTAGAGCGGCGGTCTAGACACCCGAAGATGCGAGTTCAAATTCCGCTCGAGCCAACGAATTTTTCGTTGGTCTATGGCAGTGTCAGAATAATATGAAACTAAGTTTTTCGTATTTCTGAGGATGGTTCTGAAATAGAATTTTTACACTACACAGCCGGACACAACGATTGTCAATATGCCAAGCATAATTTTAACCCTAACAAAGTGTTATGCGATTTTTTGACCCTGTTCGGCGGTTGAATTTAATAGCAATAGATTTGAAAACCAAACATGGGAGCAATTTGACTCGGATTCTTTACAGAAAGCGTTCACATGAGAATTTTTTCCGGATTTATATTTTTCCCCACGAATAGTTCCCACAAACTTTTCTGGATTCGAAAGTTCCGAATTTAGACACAGGGAGCCCATCCCGGGTCTTATTGAAGTTATGTATTAGAATTACGTATGAAATATATAGCTCAGTGTTGAAGCCTGCGACTTGCGGGCTGTGTGCGGGCTAACGTGCGCTTTGAATACACAATAAAGAAAATAATCAAGGGATGAAACATCGACGAGTGCCTGGAAGCCCAGAATTCAAAGCACAATATCAGTGTGTTTAAATAAAAAGGTCAGAGTTTTATTACGTTGTAAGGTCCTCTAGGGCCTGTTCTTTCATATCGTCTAGCCAAAACCTTCCAAATAGTTGCTAACGAGGAGAAATATTTCGATTGATCGCACAGCAGTGTATGGTTGGATATGTCTGGATGTGTTCCACAGGTTGCTATGACATGCTTAAATGCTTACTTATTTCCTACTACACACTCCACAGATGTCTAAAATCATATGGAAAATATTAAATAGTATTGTTAGTAGCTGTTGACATATTCGAATATAAAACACATATAAAATTTTAGACACATACAAAACAAAATTTCAAAATCAGTGATCGGCCGATCAGCCGGCCGTGAGAATTTCAAAAAATATGTGAATTAACTAACCAGTAAACCGCAATATTTTTTGGATTTTCCAAATTATTGCATATGACAAGCTTGTAATCAGAAAGGTAATTTATGAAAGAAGTTCTTTTGTTGAAATTTATAGAAACTTAAATCGATAATTTCTCAATGTCATAGCAACCTATGGAACACATGCTTCCAGTCACTCGTCGATGTTTCATCCCTTTATTTTTTCCTTTATTAAGCATTCAACACATGCTTAGCCCGCACACAGCCCGCAAGTCGCAGGCTTCAACACTGAGCTATATATTTCATACGTAATTCTAATACATAACTTCAATAAGACCCGGGATGGGCTCCCTGTGATTTAGACTCTCTCCTGCGATTATTTTGTATTCATCCTCATTAGTGTAAACGGCAAAACAAATCCGATATAAAAACAGAGCGAATCCGAAAACATTTGCTCTGGTGTAAACGTAGTCTGAGACGCACAGCGACGAATCCGAAAGGAAAACGTCTCGGATTGTTGTTGTTGAGACTTTATTTAACGAGGATAGAGCAAATAAATAAACTTGTGGCCTACTTACAGTATAATTTGCTTTTGGAGCATTTGTTAAATTTCGTAACAGAGAATAATCACTTTATACACAAGTCAGATATAAAGATGTATTTACAGAAGCATTTTGTTTGTTATTCGTCCCGTGTAAACGTTGATATCCGAAAACCTGCCATACTACAATTGTATTGTAAACGGATTATGTATCTTATTCCATCTCACGTTCTACGTTTTATAACATTGTACTTGCTGATACGCTTTCATAACATTTGGAATATATCAGGTAAACGTCATCTGATGCCATAATGGACTAAAAACATTCTTCATTAAAATTCAGCTACACCTGAATTCGGACTAGACCCATGCATTAAAAGGGCTTAAATAAAAATGTTTACAAAATAAAACAACTTCGTTGTTTCTTATAGTATTTCATCATTTCATCTGGCTTGCTAGTCACAATTGGGGTACCCGGACATTTTGCCGAAAGACACTTTGCCGAAAGACATTTTGCCGAAAGACATTTTGCCGAACGGACATTTTGCCGACGGACGTTTTGCCGAACGGACGATTTGCCGAACAGACATTTCGCCGAACGGACATTTTGCAGAACGGACAGTTTGCCGAAAGGACAACTTGCCGAAAATAGAGATGTTATTTCGTCAAAATGTTTGGGACTGTGACTCATTTCTCAACTGTGTAATTCTCAACCATTGTGTAAAATAATCATTATATGGTCATTAGCAGTGCATAATGGTCATTAGCATTACATAATGGTCATTAATAGTGCATAGCCATATTGACTATTGGTAGCTTGTTTGTGCAGCGGATGACTCATTTGTTAAGGAACGTGTTTTGACGTCAAGTCGTAAACAAACAAGTGTATATAAAGACAACGACGTAAGCGAATTTTACTTCGAGAATCATGGAATACATTCACAGTTCGTGTCAAAAACTTGTCAAAAACTTGTCAAAAACTTGAAAGAATATAAAACGAAACTATACTTCACTATCAAAGTTTCTGTCATCAAAATCGACAATGACTTTAAATCACAGATATTTTGACCGTATAAGCGAACCTTTAAAGTTCAGAAGATATCTCCATTTTCGGCAAGTTGTCCGTTCGTCAAACTGTCTGTTCGGCAAAATGTCCGTTCGGCAAAACGTCCGTTCGGCAAAACGTCCGTTCGGCAAAACGTCCGTCGGCAAAATGTCCGCTCGGCAAAATGTCTTTCGGCAAAATGTCTTTCGGCAAAGTGTCTTTCGGCAAAACGTCCGGCCACCCACAATTGGACTGTTCATATGACCTGGCTAGGCGGGAGACGACATTTGGCAACACTGCAGACATACAATCCTGCTACTATCCTGCCAAAGCCCGAGGTATCTTTTCTGGGATCCCCACTATGCAAGCCAAGGAATTCACCATATAAGGTAAACATCCTTTTATGGACAGGCAATACGAACTTGTCTTCAAACATGTGCCCGCATAGCCCAAATCATAAAAACAGGTCCTCAGTAGATCACGAAACTACACTTGGAACATTTTAGGCAATAATCTTGTACATTACCAGAACATCTGTTCACAAATGAATATTTTACCATGTTTGGCTAATGGTAATAATGCAAGTCCCCCATTAAGCCTCCAGTGACCTCACAAATAAGCCCCCTGCTATCCAAAAATAAGATCCCCCTTTTAAATGTTGTCAAGGGCCATGTCGGCCCAGCAAACATGGCTGCAGGATTTCTTTTCAGAGCTAATTGATCGTTTGTCTCACAAGAGCCAGGCTGACATGATTTTCAGCACAGTGAGTTAGTTGGCTAGCTTATGATCTTTAGTGAAAGACTCCCAGTGCTGGAAAATCGCCTTGCCAAAAGTAGGAGCTGGACCAGTCAATGCGACCAGCTTGGTTCATATGAATGCAATCTCAAAAATATATAAACTTAATATATTATGAGGCAGTATTTCACCACTGACAGGTATATATTAAGCCCACGATGGAAATTATTGGTTGAATCTGCAAGATTATAGCCTAAATGTTTTGATTGTAGTTTCAGGATCTGTAGTATTGTAATTTATATGATCTGGGCCAGACAATACGCATGTTTGAAGGCAAGTTCGTGTTGCCTGTCCAGGATAGCGTGTTTACTCGATATGATGAGATTCTGGTAACAGGTGTCTCGTGCATGCTTAGGTAGGATAGTAGCAGGATAGTAGCAGGATCGCAGCAATATTGGCGAAATGTTCTCTCCCACCTACCAATTGTGACTAGTGAGCCACCACATGAAGTACGAAACAATGAAGTTGAAGTCATTCTGTCCCCAAATCATCAATCTTCCTTAAGTTATGACTCCGAGACCGATGAATATATGATTTTATAAAATAAAAAATAGTTACATTAAGTACGAGCCTGGGTGTTTATTATATATTCATATTATGTAATAATGCAGGCTTACCGAGGTTTGTTACACCACAGAATGCTCAATTTGAGTTCATTGCCCGCAACCCTTCGAGGAGTCAACACGATCTGTTTTTTTTTGTTTGTCAAAAATGCCGAGATTAACAAACAGCAACTTAACAGGCCTCGGCTTGAACTCATCTACTACGGTTCCGTCAAGTGTCATTTGTTCAACGGGTAATCTCGCCGAATCTCTGACAAATTCCACGGTCAATTCCAACTCTACCTTGGGGCCATCGTCTCTGTAATCTTTGCCTCAGCTGGGCGTTCATATGGCTGCTAGATTGGCAACAACATGGTCCACAACCTTACCCAACACGGCACCGTCGGTTTATTCTTCGTCAATGTCTGTAATCCCGCTCCCTTACGTGCCCCGACATCCAAGGCCTTCGGCCAGCCTCCCTCTGCGACCGGCGCTGAATCAACAACCTTTTCAATCCGAACATTCTTTCTCTTTCTTCAATCCGAGCCTTTCTTCCTTGGCCATATTGTTTAGTCCATCTTGTGTCTTGGATCTAGTCTCCGCCCGCGCACATCATTTCTTAAATCCCATCCACCAGCGGGCAGTGTTAGGCCGAATTCAAAGCCGGGGTGAGAGACTGCCAGTTGCTGCGTATAATCTCCCAATGGTGATGCAGCCAGAAGTTTGGGTAATGCCCCAGGTATGTCTGCGCTAGTTCCTGGCTTCATGGAGGCATTTGTTGTGGACCCCAGGTTCCTTCCCATCCCTTACAAGACCGTGACTGCCATTATCTCCGGTCAGTTTGTGGATATGGCTTTCCGTTTGGCAAAACCCTCTGAGTCCCACCGGTAAGGTCAGGCCATGTCCATTGATGCCAGGGTGCTGGGGTCCCTCACCAACATCGCACAATGGGTCCAGGCTTTTTCAATGTTTTCCTTGGTAACGGTCATCTACTGTCCTGGGAGGGCGGTGGATTGATTGAAGTATCAGCTTTTGATTTTACGCACTCAGTTTGGGGTTCTCGCGTGGCTGAACAATGATGAGACCTTTCACAGGGATACCGCCGCTCGTCATGTGATCGACTGGTCGTGCACGCATGTGGAACTTTATAGCTTTTACACCGCTGCTGTGCGGGTTCCTCCCCCCTCCATCGCTCGGGCCCTTCATGAGAGCTCTGGGGCCAGTTTTGACACGGCAATTTGTCGGTCTTGGAATGCTGGCCGATGCATTTGTTACCGCCCCACGTACCGGTATTTGCGATGATGCGATTTGTTCATTGGTTGATTTGGGCCCTGGGGCTTTGATGGCGAAACTTGACGTGAAAGCGGCGTGTCGGAACATTCCCATACACCCAGATGATCGTTTTCTTTTGAGAATGAAATGGCGGGATAAATTTTACGTACATTTAGTGTTACCCTTTGGGCTGCGCTCAGCTCCGTTCATTTCGATTCAGTAGCAGAAGCAGTTGGATGGATCTTGAAGCACAACTACGCAATTCAGCCTCTTTTTCACCATTTTGATGATTTCTTCACCATGGGTCCCGCTAACTCCCCATTTGTCAATCCTACGTCAACACCGCGCTTTCGGTTTTCCATCGCCTGGGTCTGCCTCTGCACTTAGAGTTATGCGAGGGTCCTGCCACCATTTTTCAACATTTTTCAACACCAAAGGTTTGGCTCCCTCTTCGATCTCGACTCACACCGCGGCTGTCCGATCCTTCCACATTGATCTGGGTGCTCCAGACCCCCACTCTAGGTGAAACCAGGCTGGCTCGTCTATTGCGCGGTATTCGCAGGGCGCGTACCTCTTATCGTTTGCCCCGTCTGTCCATCTCCAATAAGTAGATGAGCATACTTGGCAGCGCTTGACAGCTTTCATCTCACACATTTCGACCACCTATGTTTTGGGCAGCTTCATGCACTGCTTTTTGTTGGCTTCTTGCGATTCAGTGAATTTACATGTCCGGGGACCTTCATGCCATCTCGTCATCTTGCCTTGGAGGATCATGATTTCGATCTCAGCGGTCACTTTCGGCTACACTTGAAGTCTTCAAAAATGGATTCGTTTCATGAAGGGTATACGATTGTCTTGGAGTCATCTGGTGGACCGATCTACCCGATACAGGCTTTGTTACGTTACCTCGCTGCCCGTGGTCCCACACCGGGTCCCCTCTGCATCTGCTGCAATGGGGGCGCTTCTTATACCTGCGGTGGTCAACTCCAAGTTTCAAACCATTCTGCAATCGGCCGGTGTGTGAGGCAATTATTCGAGCCACAGTTTACGGATGGGTGCAGCAACATCCGCGGTCCTGGCAGGCATTCCCGATCATTTAATTAAGACTCTGGGTCGGTACATCTCCGCGAGTATTGCGTCAGACAGCTCGGCACCTGGTCTGATTCATGCCCGGGGGTTGATAACGCCTTTGGATCTCGAATCCCTTCTCCAGCTGTGCTGGAGGACGGCGTTGGACTTGGAGAGGTGAATTCTCGGCATCATTTGGAGTCAAGCCGGGTTAACGGGATGGTGGAAAGCTTCTCTATCTATGCGACAGCCTAGCGGAGTAATGTTAGTGGTAAGCCGCCTTCTCCAACAGAGCTCTTCTCCAACACCCTCCAAAATAGTGTCGCTTGAACAATCGGACTGTCTACCGTTATTGCAATACGCGTTATAGCTACCGATTAAATGTGAGTGATTGTATGTTAATGTCATTCAAAGCTTGAAAACAATGAATACAAGTGTTGAATGTCAGACAAACGAAGATATTCATGTCCCCAGGCTGCAACACAATGTTGACACATTATCCTGAAGTCGACCAACTCGACCAAAAACGAGCCAAAAACAGCTACTGTATTCAGTTAATCAATCAAAAAAATACTTGGCATACGTGTCCAAATATTTGGTGAGTTTCTTTAGCCCATTTATACCAACAAAATATAAAAAATTCCCTGTGTTTCGATTTGTCATGTTGATCGCTTGTCCCGGCTTGGAAGTGTGCCGTTGTTAAACAGGATATTAATAGGTTATTAATGTGAAAATACGAAGAATGTTTTAAAAAATAAAACCTCCTAAAACACAATTTGAAAGAATTTTAACGCGCCAATCCGTTGGGAGCCTACAAATTCGAGGGGTGTTACTTTCCCAACAACACGATAAATAAAAAATCCGCACCAGGAATTTAAAGAGAAATCTAACCCGAGTTGCTGGACGATTAAACAACTGTTATTTGATAAAAAATATATACAAAATCTGATCCACTAACCATTCTGTATTGCAACAGTGCTTGAGTCAAAGCATTTGAAACTTGGAGGGCTACAGATGCGTCTTCGTCATTCTTTACAAGTTTTGTCTGTCAAAAACAGAAAATGTTAAATCATCTTTTGACGCAGAATAGATTATATGATATTAATTAACATCATTCTATTGCATGCACGAGGAAACATTTTGCATCCATACAGTGTATTCAGAAAATTACAATAAAAAACACGCACCTGTTCGTTCTCATTTATTATTGTAAAGAATATTGTGCGCATAAATTATACATATATAAATTACACGTACTTACACGTGCGCTGTAGTGATTATTTTGAAAAATATTACTGCATGCACAATATCCTTTAATGCTTACCAAGTCGCCAAGAGCAGTAGCCAAACCAGGCGATATTGCTTGCTATTCAAAAGCAAACAGAAAGTATAAATAAGCCCAATGAAAGAACTGGTGATGATGCGATATGATGGGTATGGTATGGAGAATTATCGCATGATATCGCTTTTGGCCGTTAAATAAATATAAAAAAATAAAAAATAAAAGACTAAATAAAATAAAAAAACTAAAATAGCGACGAAAATCTCTGAAGTATTTTTGACGTATATTTGAAAGAATAGAAAACATATTTCCTGCAAATGGCAAGAATTAAGACGCACAAGTGCGGATATCTTTTAAATAAGTAATATAAAGTAATTATTGAATTTGGTTTCAGCATGGTATGAATAATTGCGAAGGCTCCAGCCCGTGCTAACCGCATCAGCTTTCAGCATCGGCAGATAACACAATTTTGCCCTTCATAATTCTTCATATCCCGCAGGGTGAACACCAAATGTGATTGGCTGACTTGTGGTCACGTAGCTTTAGAAAAATGCAATGTATCCCGCCGGGCAACAAGTGAAAAATTGTTGCCAGCTCCGACCGACTACAGTACGTACATAAACAAATAGTAACAAAAAATATGCGAACCTTTGATGGAACTGACGGAACGTCGAAATTGCGAGGAGGTTCAATTTGCGGTGGTGGTGCAGAATATCCACTATCAAAGTATGATGGGTTACTTTCAGGATATCCTTGTCCAAAGCCAGAAGTGCTGTAAAAGTAAAAACATCAAATTAATTTCAGTGCAACTGAACAGGACGCAATTGAAGTAAGATCAGTTGAATTAGCGGTCTTCACATCAAAATAAACTTATAGCCGCAAGTCTAGCAAGCGACAGGTATTTCAGAATGTTGTCAGCGGGATTTAGGTTCGAAGAACCAAAACAAATTAAAGGATTAGTGTCACACCATGGTAATGCGGGCTCAAATTCCTGCTGGCGGCCAATTCATGGGCCGAGTAAATCAATAGATCTGGACGTTTTTTGTAATCAGTGAGCATTGTAGGAAACGTTCACGCAAACGAATGGAATAAATTGAAGCTTGCTAATGGGCTACACCCGGAAAAAAGTCGGCAAATTTGAGTTATACCTGGATAAAACCAAGAAAATCTAATTCTACATCTTTTGGCTACAATTGAAATATTCAATCCTGGTTTTATCAACATTCCTGACTTTTTACATTTATTTGTGGCGAAAAATCGAGGAATTTCCGTTTTATATCGTGGATAATGATAAAAATTTGGACGTGCGGAAGTCACAAAGAAAATACCGCCCTTCAACATCGAAGCACTTTAAAACATTTCTACCGTTCCAAAACCTGTTTTGTATTAAAGTGCAGGTATTCTTGTTGATTTTGGGCTCTTAATCCTTGCTTGAACTATGCTAAAAATGAAAAAAATCAGTGTTTCCAAACTTGTATTATTTTGGTAATTTCCCGCTCCTCCTAAACATTGTGGCTTTGCATCTGTGAATGAGAATTTACATCCTGGCAATGAGAATTTACATCCTCGCAACAAGAATTTAGCCAATCAAAGAGCGTTATTTGTCCCCATTAGAAAGCTTCAATTTGTCCCTCGATTTTTCTCGCCCTTTTATAATCTCTATGAACTCAGCAGCCATTGGTTCACAAAGTCTGGATCCAAAAACAGTTAAAGCTACTGTACAATTTGTGCTTAAGCTCCGAAAACGAAAAAGAAGCGCGCAAATATCCTTGACAATATAAATCATGATCTTACATATAATCATACCAACCTTTGCTGATAACTTCTGCCGTAGTTCGGATTGTCGTAACTTGCATTATATGGCATGTTATAACTAAACGAATCATATCCAATTCCACCGCCACCACCACCAAAAGAGCCATATGATGAGGAGCCATATGATAAGCCACTTGGTCCTGACGGCGGGGTTATGTATGATCCCATATTTGACCCTCTACCTCGGGAAAATGACGTTTCCCTACTACTCCACGAACCCCTTTTTGGATGACCAGTATTTCGTCTTTCACCTCGTCCCCCACCACGACTGCCTCCTCGACCTAGATTATAAAAATTGCTAAAGTTAATATATAGGGCAAGACAAGAAACTTAACAGAAAGCAATTGAAATTTCACTAAGTTTCGCCATAATTGTTAGTAATATTCATACAGTAATAATTCAAAGACTAAAGTTATACATAAGAATAACAAAGTTACAATGTAACTTATAGATATCAAACTATTGATATTGTTTGTTAGTATTAGTGGTTATTAGTTACAACAGCGGACCTCATTAACTGGAGGACGTGTTATGATAACGATGTGTTTGTTTAATTTGGTGTATACAAAGGTCGTGGCAGAAGCTCACGATACTCATGTTGCCAAGTAAATCCTAGCGGATCTTATAATTTCTGGTGAGGGAGGACAACCGAAGGGCACCCGAAAAGCCCATGAAGCACAGGAACAATAGCTTTCCAACCTAAGTAAATACTCTACCCTACCTTCGATATTAACAGGCTTAACTCGGCGGTAACCAGATCTGCCACTCCGAAATCAATGGATCTTAGAAGTGCTTAGGTCACGTAATTTTCAAACAACGAATTATTGATCCAAAAGTATCGCACAATGTACTGTGCATTCCAGAAGTCCTACTGTATGTATTAAAAATTGAGTGACGTAAGCACTTCTAACGTCTTTTCTTATAAACATATTTACCAAATCTTAAATTGTTTAAAGGTGATCTACAGTCCGATCTGCGCATGTGCACAAATGAGCCCACTTTTTATGATGCAAACAGTTTAACTATGTTTTGAGTTCTTGAAAAGCTTGATTGTTGTTTCTTGATCATTTATTATACTCTAGAAGCTTGAAAATATAAATAGTTGTCGAATAAAGCTCAATATTTTGGACACAAAAATGTAAACAAAGGCTTTGTTTACATACGGACTGTAGATCACCTTTAACAAAGCCAGAAAAAGGATTGGAATTGGATGATGGATTTATTATTGGTTGCAGTCCGTCAGATCAACTGATAGGAAGCGACTGTATAGGGCTACCAGGAAGCGACTGTATAGGGCTACCGACAAGAGGGCTACCACTTTACTTATAACTATGTGACTTTCCAGTACAGACCAGCTGTTAACTAACCTCTAGGGGGTTGAAGTCCGGGAGGAGGTTTCTCGACTCTGATTTTCACTTCTTTACGTCCTTCTGCTAGCTCCAGATCAATCGACTCTTTCAACAATGCAGCGGTAAGCTCAGAACGTTTCTTACTCGTAGGATGCAATTCTTTCACAAAATCAGGCCGCTTGATTTTCTACATAAACATAATATCAAATTTATTTATATACCATTTCAATTTTTTCCCGAACTTCTGCACAAGTGCATTTATTATAACTCGATGTGAACACGAAAAAATTGTTTTCTACCATTTCTTCTACAAAATTTAATGACAGACATATATTTATGATATTGTACTTACAATTTGATTGAAATACAAAATATTATATACAACAGTCCAACACTACTGGCGTTTCTCAGTCGGTTAAAAACGTTTGGAATTAGGCTACAGAGGTGAGCAACCAAGTAAGAGAAGAAATTTAATAGAATTAACCGGAAGGAATTTAAAATAATGGGACCCACTGTTAAAATCCATGTAGTATTGTCAATGCATGCAAATATGCAGTATCTACTACGGATCTACCTGCGCTTGAAATGTTTGAATTTGAAGTGAGAACGAAAGCAAACAAGAAATGAACTTGTTTTTATAGATTATTTTGGTCTACGGGGTCGAAACTTCAAGCAGATTACGATTTTATTTTAACGGGGAAAATGGTATGTCGCACATAGGCCGAAGTGTTGAAACGTTTGGTCGTGAATGTAATTCCAACGGGATTGCATTCACTTTCGTGGATGACAGTCTCAAGCAAAAACGTAGACACTTCTAAATAAATGCAACTAGTTGTTGTCAAACTTGTACAATGTTGTCACAAAGCTTGCGACAAAATTGTTACACTACTTGCACTTGTCTAGAAGAGTAACACCACGTAATTGTTATTAAATTTACTACAAGGTTTTCACGACACGTTTGCCAGAAAACGTACTGCAGTTCAAGGTTTTAACAAAAATTGCGGTAAAGTTGTAACAACAATCCCATTAAATTGTCGAAAAACTTCTTACAGAGTTGTAAAATCCTTGTTACAAGGCGTTCGTTGTCAGAATACTTGCTAGTTAAAAACATGAAACAACATCAGTTGTTTCAAAACTTGCTGCAAGTTTAAAAACTTGAAACAAAGTAAATTTAAAAATTAATATACAAGTTTGTTGCAACAAAACTTCTACAAATATTACACCAAGTCATCACGACACCTCTTACATGTTTACTTGCCAAAAGGTGAAACATTATGGCACAAAACTTGTATCCGGCTTCTTCTGACCGGTCTTCATACAAGGTTATGTACAAGGTCAGTAGAATTATTTTACAGGACTTGTACTGGTTGTAACAAGACTTGTGGCATATTTCGCTATGTTCACCACATACGTTCATTATGAAGGTAAACAACTCCTTGCCTTTAAACAAAAGCTTGGAGAGAAGGTAAAACTTACCAAGACATTCATACGATGTTTTTGGCCAACCAAGTGAGGAAACTTGAGATCATGTTCAAATTTCGCATCACATAAAGAACATTCATAACGAGGATTTTGTCCAGCCACCTGGACCTCCGTCACGTATTCCAGGCCTGTGGATGGGTGGTCAAAGTATAGCACAGGTTATATTATAGCGAAACCCAAACATTTCAATTAATCATAATCAAGATGAAAAATTGAATATGTTCGTCACTATAAGCATGATCAAATTAACATATTTTCTTTTACAGTACCATTGCCGTTGTGGCAATGGAATCGATTCGTCACCAAATTTTTCAGAGAAAAACAAGGTATTTAATGTATTGTTACTAAAACCATCGCAAAACCTTTGGTCATAGTAAAAAATAAATTGCTTAATAATTTAGGAACAATATTCAACATGACCAGAAATCGAATATCTGGCAGCTGAGGCAAATTTAAAGGCACGTATGGTACGTACAATACAGCACACTGTACATACGAATGCAATTCAGTAGAGAAAATTGTAGTAGCACTACAGTACATCTTTCTATACTGTAGAGCTAAACAGATTAACTCAAATTTACAACGGGCATTGGTCTTCTACATTGAAATTGCAACAGTTCTATTATAACCCTATATTGTATAGAGGAAACGGGAAAGCACAGCATAGGACAGTTAAATACATCACTGCTGCACTGTAAAGTTACGCAAAGTAATGTACTGTAAAGTATATACTGTAGTTTCGCAAAGTGCAGTACTATACTAAGCACAAAACAATGCGGACAACATTGTATGTGTACATTGATACAATACTGCAAAGACCAGCACAATTAACACATTAAACTTATAAGCACGGTATTACAGTATACAGTAGTATTGCCAAACACAGTAAGTGGGGGTGCGTTAATCACCTCACTCTTACTGTAGCTGTGAGATGAGCTGAATTGCGAAGGGCACAGCTCAACTGATCAAGTCGACAGATTACCAATGGCACTTCTCGCTGCCACTGTGTAACCCATTTCTGATCACCGAGCACAGCTAAGATGGAAGAGTTAGTTTGGGAGTGTTATCCCAACCCATCCTGTCAACAATCCCTGTAAACACACGACTTAGTGTTGACCGACTCTTCTCACATACGTCTCAAACTCCACAGCGAGAATCGAAGTCACGATCTCAGAGGAGAACTACGCCTACTCTGTCGACTGCGCCACCGAAGGCTCGTACTGCTGCAATACAGTACAAACAGTACTGAAAACAATAAAGTTTACTGCAGTCAGTAAAGTGCTATACAGCACTGTACAGTTAATTGACTGAGGCGATTTTTCCATATAACGAAAAAATGGAGGATTTTTTTTCCAAAACCGAATTTATTTACCCAATATTGCTTTAGTGGAAAACCGACAAAAGGATACTTTAATTAACGACACTTCGTATTTTAACGGCACCGTTTTTTTGCAAATGGTGGCAAGAAATGATCAAGTTGTTTCCACCACCTTTCATGATGTTTCTTCAAATACGTAAGAAAGTTCAATGTGCAAGAGGCGCAGCCATTTTTAAATTTTCACAATTACAGTTAAATTCTGTTGAAGTAAGATTGCAGTATATCAACATGATTTACAGGGCTTTCAGTTTCATTTAAAAAAAAGCAGCTGCGCGGTCAGAAAGTAAACGGTCGTCCGCAATGAAGGAACCATTGAACTAATGCCAGTATTAGACGTATGATCGTCCTTTTTGTCTACTTTTTTCCTTGATTGGTTCATAACCTATCCTACTATTTTAATGCAGTGTATGATTGGTTGAAGATTTTTTTAAAAGAAATTAGAGATGAGACTAAAAAGACACTAAAACAACCGCGCAATTTTTGCGTTTTAAGAAAGAGCAAAATGTCTTCAAAACTAACCCAACCACAGAACAGTTTTTAAATTTGTGGCTTGTAAAAATACGCTGGAATCAACAGGTAAACAAGTGGTTATTTCAAACCTCGCTGCAAGGTATTGGTAGACCTGTAGGTGATGAAAATGAAACACTGGGTTTTGGCTCTGCAGAAACAATCATAAAACAAGATGCACAAAAAAAGACCAAAAACGATGGCCTACGCCCGACTGTACAAGATGAACTATGTAAAATGACTTCCTAAAAAATTCGAGTTAAAATGACCAACCTAATTGAGAAATAAATCGTATTTAAGACCATATATTACCTATTAATGGCTGCGGGTAATTGGCAAAAACCTGCGCTCCAATCGATTTTCCTTTTGCAGGTTTCTGAGGTTTGTCGTATGGCTTCTTGTTCTGGATGTTGCCAAACTGACTATTTTTCATTCGACCACCTACCAATTAAAAGACAAGTATGGACAGTAAAAACCTTTAATATATTGTGGACTGGTTTTGGTGGATAAATCAAGCGAGCATATATATACATAATTAAATTTTCACATAACGCTATATATACACAAGTAACACAATGCTTTTTTTGCACAATGATATGATTGCTTGGATTATGCACCAAAACCAGCTTTCAAGTTCAACCACGTGAAGTGCAAAAAACATCTTTCAAGTCTCAATATATTGTGGAACCCAGTGGCCATACAGTATTAATACAGTAGACGATTATGAGGGATAGGATAAAATATTTTATAGACTCAAAATATATTTTTGTTTGCAGTCCGAATGGCAAATAAACTGTACAAGCAAATGGTCCCAGAATAGATATACAAATTTGCCAGTGAGGATAACCACGAACAGTATTAATAGGATGACCTTTTAATACTAAGTTTCACTATACTGTATGTTCCTAGCACAGAGTAGAACTTACTGCTGAGCATTCAAATACGAGAGACATCATACAGGTACATGTAAATACTGCTGTTCAGGACTTCAGGTATAATGGATTGTTTCAGAAAAAATCCACACTACCTCTAGCTAAAAAGGGCATTTGTGGACAGGGTGAGATAAAATAGTAAAAAGTGTGCCTAAATGGGGACATGATTGAATTGTGGGAGAAGTGCGGATATGTCTGTCAGGGATGACCCAATAACAATGTTTAAAATTTTATAGTTATTTGCACCTACCTCCTGCACTTCGCTCGTTCTCGGCAGCTTTCTGTTGTAAAGCCTAAAACCATAAAGTTTATAGCATCAAGTAGCATACTCCAGAACCGGAACTCTGTCATATTTATGAAACACCATTCATAGATTTATTCATCAAATTTATTTGCTGATGAAGATCCATTTGGTTGCAACAACAGTACAAACAAAAGAGTTCATGTACACAGTGGCTGCTACAAATGAAGTTTTGTACTGTACAGCACATGACATTTTTCGCAGTGTTTATGGTTTTTGTTCCAACAATTAGAGACATCACCTGGCTTCATAATGTTATGGAGTAACCAACAATTCAAATCAGACAAGTCAGCAAAACATATTATACTAATTACAGTCTAATACTACTCCGACTCTGTTCAGTTCCACCTGATCTGGTGCACCCTGATCACATTTTGGAGCTGCATATAAATTGAATTTGGTAAAGCAAGGCACCTACAGTAAATAGCGGCCCTTAATGGTTTATAGCACCTGTACATGCATGAAACTATCTTACAGTACTACATATATGAGTTCTATAAGTTCTGATCAAGCTCCATACATGTAGGATACAAGGGCAGAAGAGCAAAGCAAGGTCTGACTGTAAAATTCATTGGGATTCTTTTAATACAAATGTTGGTATCTGTGATGTTCACATCCAAATTTAAAATCTTATATCTTATACATATTACCAGGACACTCATGCAATAGACAATTCCCATTATAGACTGATTTTAAAACTAGGCAAGGAGATGCAATTAAATCACCACAGCTAGAAAGAACATAGTATTACTGAAATGAGTAAAATTGCAAAGTTTGGTTGCAAAATGTTGTAAAATACGGAGAATATAGCCTTGCAACGTTTGCAAATTTTGTATACTTTTGTATTGCGTGCGGAAATTGCTCCCATTTTCGGCCCAAATGTGGTAGAAATTTCCGCACGCAATACATAAGACAGTATACAAAATTTGCAAGGCTATATTTTCCGCATTCTATAACATTTCGCAACCAAAATTTGCAATTTTACTAATCTTAGTATGTTCTTTCTAGCTGTGGTGATTTATTTGCATTTCCTTGCCTAGTTTTAAAATTAGTCTATAATGGGATTTGTCTATTTCAGGCCACAAATATAGTACAAAGGAACCGTAGTGATTTTTATTTTGCAAATCAAACATAAAGCACTAAATTTAACTACATAGTGAGTGTAGGGTAAGGTGGTTCTGGGTAAAAACCGTTGGACAGGGTCTTAGCTAGAGGGCCGTGTTGGCCGTGTTATCGCGGCCAAAAGCGGAAAAACACGGCTTGATAAAATTAACGCGCCTTTACTATTTTTATATAAGGCCGTGTAGGTTCATAAAATAAGGTGGTGCTACTTACAACAGACAGAATTTCTTCCTATTTACGTCATAAGAAAGTTTGTAAAATCTACTGTTGTTGTTGAATTGGCAAAAATGATCCGTGATATTTTAATATTTTGATGGATAATGGGAACTGTATGGTGTTAAAATGGTTTTAAATACCCCCAAGAGTTGCTGAAATAACTTAATATTTTAATCTCAGTGCGCAATATGAGCGTATGCTCATCTTGTAATTGGTTGCAAAGCATAGAACAACCAGAACAGTCCACAAGCATAGTTGTTGTTGGCGAGCATAACGAGAACCGTGATTTTGCTATTCAAGGTAATTGACATGTGCACGCCCTGGTCATTAGAAACACGCCCAAGATCTAAAATCCTAGCTAAGACCCTGCCGTTGGAAAGCAAAATGATTTTTATAACTTATGTCAAAATATGCTACTTACTGTACAGTTAGATTAAACTTCATGTTACACGTTCAAGACTTTAGTTTTAAAAACAAAATTGTATTAATGGTACAGTACTGCCTTAATATGTACACAATAAGCTACCGTTAGGTGTGCTATTTTCTCGCATTTTTAATGTTTGAAACTTGGAAGTTTCATCAGAATACGTTGAACTAGCGCCATGATTTTGACACGGTGTTGTCAAAATCGCAGTATTGCAGATTGCTTACATTTGTTTAATGTTTCAAACAACTTTTTCTCTCAATTTGTTTCCAGGTCTTTACCAAGAACAACATCAGTTGAATCGTTTTTTCCAGTTCATTGATTAACTGCCTCACCCTAATTGAGCGAAACCTACCTTCCGATGTTTTGCTCCAAGCATATGAGCATTAAAAGACAGATGACCACAGCAAGTGATAGAACATATCTTAACAAAATTGAGATCATATTATATATTACTACTATATTACACAAATGGTATATTTGATATAATAATAAACAGTTCAAAATACACTGTCTTCTTACTTGTCAGTATTCTGAATTTAAATGTAAACAACCAATGGCAATATAATATACCCATTCGGTGTGCTTGGTTGCCCACCCAGCACCTCCCTAAAACCTTGCTGGATCCACCATTGATTATACATATCCAAATATTTAGTGTTCAAAGAATATCATTTAAATTTATGTTATTAATTTCCCCTGACATTTCTTTGGTAAGGAGAAGAAGAAGACAAAGAATTTATTCACCCATTATAAATCATTACATTATTTGCTCTGTTAGTATACTGTAGTAGGTATGGGTATTATCTGCCTAAAATAACCATAAGGGCTAACTGAATTAGGCAGATAATGTCCATAGACAACATAGTGGAGATGACTCCTAAATTCGAGTTAAAATGACCACAATAAGGAAATATTTTTTGTTACAGAGTAAATGATAAAGCCCTTTAAAACTGGGTTAAATCATACAACTATTACCAAGGTTTAAAATAAATAATTGGAATTTAGATAATAAATTATATTTGTAGGATGTTTGGTCCATGTACATTTTCTGCACCGGCAATTTTTTTCAGAATCTAATAAGCCACATATGAAATGATTACGCAGAAAATACCCGCAACAAGTTAGTTAGTCAGAAATATATGCAGTAAAAAATATTTTCAAAAATTCTATGAAACCAATGCCCAGCATAATCAGTGCCGGATTAATTTAACCATATGGCAGAAGCGGCATATGCTGCGGGCCCTGCGCTTTTGGGGGGCCCGCGCTTACTCTCTTCTACTTTTTCTGAATTTTTTGTTTCCTGTTTAAGCGCGGGGCCCAAACAGTGCGCCAGTGCGGGGCCCCAAAGAGCCCAAGTCCCCCAAAATTTAAAAAGCGAGCCCCCAAAGAGCGGGGCCCCAAACGTGTTTTTTTCCCCGTTTCAGTGTTTCAACGCGGGCCCAAGGTCCCAAGACAGGGCTCCAAACTTGAAATTTTTGTCAGTATCCAAGTGGATACCAGCATCATAGAATCTAGTATCCATCCTTGAAATATAGTATCCCAGATTTGGATACTAGATATTCTATTTCCAGTATCTAAGCAAGGCAAAATTTTACCTTGCAACCAGGCCTTCAGTTGCTGAGCAAAAACCAGGCCTTTAGTTTCAATTATAATAAAAATATGTATTGAAATTCGAAAAAATTGAAAATAACACACTGCGGCAATACGAAAGAAAGCACCGTTTGTGAAATTTTTTTTTTAAATATTCTGCCAAAATCCGTAGACATTGAAGTTCGGAAACATGTCAAACGTCTAGATGATTATCTACTATCGCAATTTCTAAGTTTTCCTAGTATCCAGTTGGGATACTGAGCTTATGAAACCCAGTATCCAAAATTAAAATCTGATATCCCGTGGATATCGGGATACCGCAAGTTTCGAGCCTTGCAAGAGCCCAAGGTCCCCAGATAACGTCAGATCTCAAAATTTGAAAATCTAGACCCCAAAGAGCGGGGCCCCAAACGTTTTTTTCCTGTTTCAGTGCGGGATCCAAACAGCGCGGGGCCCCAAAGAGTCCAAGGGCCCCAAAGAGTCCAAGGGCCCCCAAAGAGTCCAAGGGCCCCCAAAGAGTCCAAGGGCCCCCAAGGAGTCCAAGGGCCCCAAAAGCGAAGCCCCGGCCAAAACAAAAAAACACGAGGCCCCAAAGTTTAAAAAGTGAGGCTCCAAAAGCAGGGCCGCAAACAAATTTTTTTGTTCCTTCTTTTGGCAAGGGGCTCCAAAAAGCGAGGCCAAAAAATTAATTGGGGTCAGAAATTTCAAAATTTGCAGTAAACTGTTAATTAACTACTAAAAGATTGCCGAATTTTGTGGAACATGGCAAAAGTTTATATGGACGCTATCATGTTTAGCTTTTTTTTCTGTAAATAATAAGAATGTTAATGGTATAAAATGCCTAGGTTGAGTTTCAGTTCTATCAAATTGATTGATGTATAATTTTTTTTTTGTACTAATACAAAGGAAACTTTTCAACACATATGAAATACAAAAGAATATTTTTAATCTTTATAATCCAGTGTCCAAAATGCCGTTGGACGGTTGGGGGGGGGGGTCAAGGGGCCCCGCGCTGATAATATGCCACGGGCCCCGCGGAACGTTAGTCCGGCCCTGAGCATAATACATGTAATTAATCAAAATAAGCGATCACAAAATGAAATGGGTATTGATTTTCATCATACAGTTACAACTCCCCCCTTTGTTCATGGCTACAAGAATTTCATGACTACCAGACAGAATGCTTAACACAATCTTTTTATGTCAAGAGACTCAAGACAGCATCTTTTTTATTTTAATTAAAGAGATAAATTCATTGTATAGATCAATAAATTAAGAAGTCTAGAACTCATTGTTGCTGATTTAGAAGTTGTCGCTGGTGCTTGAAAATGCAGGTGTCAGCCAGCTGCAATTTTAAACCCCGATTACAGAATCAATGATACAATATACTTACATCACAAGCAAAAGATGAAGGAGGATCTTTTGTCAATTTTATATTATAAGCTTCTGCCACTTTCTTGATATGATGAGCTTTAAAGACATGTTTTGCAAATGCCTTCAATAAAACAAAGTACAAATGTTCATCATGTTATGGCAGATTCTATTTGGGTTTTGAAATATTACTTCAGCAGGACACTAAGATTTGCCTCCTGAGCTCTGCCAATGGGTCATTCCATTTGTATAGGAAATAGTATGGTTTCGAGTGCAATTTGGAAAAAATCCATCCGACTACCTTGAAGTCTTTGAAAAACTCACGAGTGTATGTTTTTTCAAATTGCATGAGAAATTATACTATTACTGTACAGCAAAAAATTATGCAGTCACGTGTGTAAGTCACATTTCGAAAATTAAGAAATTTGAAAATTAAAAATTTTGCACAGTATTTCATTTCTTTGGCAATGTATTTCAAAAAATTGCACTGCTCTTATCTTAGCCAATCAGAATTGAGAATTTTTTTCATGTATATTATTAAACCCAGCATTAATTTAAGTTGCATATGGGCATTTCATTGTTGTACATGTTACATTTGAGACAAAATAATAAGGGAATTTTTCAATATACAGAATTGTTTTGATAATAATGCTATAATAAATATGATACTGTAAAATTTTTCTTTGCCAGGTGTTTGCCGTTTGACATATAACACGAAGCTTAAGCTCTCTAAAATAATTTTCTCCCTGGGAGCACAACCTGGTGACAAAGATGTGCTGCAGACCAACAGAGTATTTTTGTGCTAAATCTGCATGTGCATAAACATGTCTAGTGTTCTAGCTGACCATAGTTTTAAATTCAAGGAATAATGTCTGTCAACCATGGGTGTAAAGGTTCCTTCAAATATTCAATAGCATATCTTCATTCAAACAAATTTCCTGCAGCTGTTTAACATTTCCTGCGATCAGTGCTGGCGTGCTCGCCTATTTTTTTTACCCTTGAAGGGCAGACACTGAGATATTTATCACTATCCGGCCCGTATAAGATATCCGGGGGAATCCATAGACAGTGTGCATTCCATGTAAATCCTATGAGTACTGGAGATAAGCCATGAACATTTGCCCCTGATCATGCCAATAGCTACAAAAAATGTACTTGGGGACTAAAACCCATGTCAAAATAAACAATCGTGTATGCGTTTGGCAAAACTGTAAAGTAATACTACTGTACCAACCCTCGAAATTCGCCTCGGCACTCGGCAATTGCCGACGCAAGTTACGATTTTTCATAGTTTGCCTCGGCAAAAAAATGCCGAGGCAATTCCACCTGTTGTACCTTAAATTACAAACTACAGCGTCTGTTCGTTGTTTTTTTTCTTCTTAAATTTACAAACTACAGTGTTCGTTTTTTGCATCACTTCTTTGTTCGAATTGTTGTCATCGACGTCGGGTGAACAACAGAAGATTTCATTCATAGCTACTTTACACAATATTTAATTTTGAGCTTTTCAGCGTCGGCTTCGGTTGAAATAAAGAACAATCTTGATGGTTTAAAGACGGCACGTCGAGAAACTTTGTTTTAACTTTTAGTTATAAATTATTAAAAAACATTTTGAATCAGGAATATGTAAAATAACAACAAATTGTCAAACGTCAGAATCTACGATCATTATAATATTTGTTCACAGTAATTTCCGTATGTACTTTACTTTAATTACAAGTTACAACTGCAAACGTGAATGCTGAAGGGTGCCGAAGTAATTGCCGAAGGAATTTAAGGTGATTTCATTGCGTGCCTCGGCAAAAAAAAATTGCCGAGGCAAACTCAAAAATTATCGAAAGACTTCGGCAATTATTTGCCGAGGCAAAAATAGTCGAATTTCGAGGGTTGTGTACTGACATTAGGGAAGCCTCACATATCGATTTCGTCCATGAGAAACGTCATATGTTCGTTTCTCTGGAGACCCCCCTCCACCCCCCTAAGAAACGTCACACATAGTTATCGATATTTTGTTCAATATAGTACACATAAGGTAATTTTCTACTATTTTCTACGGTCGGCTATTGGCGATGCTTCCGCGAGGAATATGTCATAGGGGTGCACCGGAACTCGGTTCCGGCCGGTTAGTTCCGGCCGGAACCCCGATTTTTTAGAGTTCCGGTTCCGGCCGGAACCGGAACTCTGTCGTTTTCAGAGAGATAGAATATCAAACGTTTTTGTGTCTAACAAAAGGTCACAGTAGGAAGAAATCTGGACTACACAAGGGAAATGTACATTATTAACACTTCATTATGACATTTAACGCTTGTCAATCTTTTTATTCTAACATTTGCGAGCTCTCTCCTTGATGACTTGAAGTGTCTGCCTGTCTGGCAGCGGACAAAGTAACATATGACTATATATGGCTTAATAAATTAGTTCCGGTTCCGGCCGGAACTTTTTTCCAGTTCCGGTTGGATCCGGTTCCGGCCGGAACTTAAAAAACTGGTTCCGGTGCACCCCTAATATGTCATCTTTTGCTGACATATCTTTTTTTATTAATATATATGAACTTCAAAATTTCTAACGTTTCTCAAAACAACTTTTTTTTGCATGAAATATTGATAATTTTAGCGCGGTTTTCTTGAAATTTGAGTGTTTTCAATGCAAGGAAGGCGTAATAATATAAATGTATACGTGTAGAACAGGTATGGTATTACGAATGTAGGCCTATAGACTGGCGTTTGTATCAAGTTGTTTTCTTTTTTATACTCTGCAAAGATGATTTCGAAATGTTAAGGCTTTCGATAAAACTATCGAATTTTCCCATGATATTTAATACACTGAAACGTCACAGTTGCAAACCCCCCCCACGAACATATGACGTTTCTCGTGGAAAAAATCGATATGTGAGGCTTCCCTTACACCAACAAATTTTGTAGCAGGGATTGCATCCTGGGTCCAGGGTCCTCAGCCCTTAATCCACCATACTTTATTCCTTCACTTAATACCTGCTTTCCCCCTGCAAAAATTTTAAGGAGAAACCCCCTTCTCCCCAATTGGATATCCAGATCCCTCAATAGTACTAAATGTAGCCCAATCTGGTGACAAAGTGACAGACAAACTGACAGTCTGACATTGAAATATGTCGAACTCACCGGCCAGTCTTCAGCTTTAAAATCGCAATGTTTACATTCCCTCATTTCTTCTTCTGTTTTGGGAGCTCGCCCTCTGCTTTCTTCACCGGTAGCGGAGGGATCAGCCTGGTCAAGAGCATAATGTTCGACGCTGTGATCGTCGTGTTCGAGCACGTTGTTGTGTTCAGCAGTCGGTGGATTCATGGGATCATCGAACCCACCAGTCGCAGGATTCTGATCATCGACATCGAATGAAGTTCCAAACAAATGTGTACCGTCCATTTTTCATTAAACTCACGAGTGTTCAATATTAAAGCTTACTCAGAGAAAGGTTAAACTCGAAATGTATCCACTATTAAACACACTGAAACAAGCGATGAACCGAACCATGTGCGTATTTTACAGTGAACGTTCGTTCCCAAATCTCAAAGCAATGTTTCGACTGCGCATGCGCGCGTGCAAATTGCGTGGGCTTCGAGACTTCCTTCTTCACACCAACACAATATGATATAACAATATGAAAAGGGTATGTATAAAAAAAAAAATTAAAAAAAAAGGGTATGTATATCGCTGGAAACTCAGAGAGCGTTTTATGTTGTTACAATATGATATGACACCAATCGAAAGAAGGGCTTCCGTATGGCATTTGCCATTTGCAGCTCCTCAGTCAGTCGTCAGTCTTACAATTGTTTGTTGTTACAATGTTACTAGCCATGCATCTTGCGGATTTCATGCAAGATGCTAATGATGCAATAAAAACAGTAAAATAACTCATTGTTGAAGTCAGTTTCCATCTACAAATCCCTTCAGCAATTAGGGGCCATTCAAAATATATTGTACCCCCGGTGTCACAGCGGATTTGGACCCCCGGTCCAAAATTCCTAGTAGATATGGACACCCTTTAGCGGATATGGACCCCCTTTTTTAAACACTTTTATGTACTAAAAACATCCCCAACAAAGGTGAATATGTTAAATTCATTAGTTTTCAGATACCCAGAGCTTCTTATCAACCACAGATAGTCATTTATTGTGAATAGAAAACATTGTTTTTTTATTGCCAATGGCAGTGAGATCCAAATTTACAACAAAAAAACTAGAAAGGAAAGTATGTATGGGCAATATACATTCGTCAAATGTTCACGCATCTTGGATTGGTTGTAACGTACGTTGGAGGGGACATTTCCGGCAGCAAGATCGGTGTTTTCAGGGTCGATGTTTTTCAGGGTCGTACCACTGATCTGCGTCCTACGCGAACGCTATCGCGAACACACCGCAATCCACTTCCCCCAACTGAACTTGATTCCTTGAACAGGTGGAAATTGTACTTCAAGCTTGTCTTGATTAATTAACGACTTGTAGCAATCGGCGAGTTGCATCTCTTTTGTTAAACAGTGATTCGTTATTGACAAAGACTATACATAGATTTTAGTCACACTGTATTCTATTTTCTATGATAAAATACTTCAGATTGATCGCTATTATCAATTTGGTTTGTATTATTGTGTTCACATTACATATATTTAACTTTTGACGGGGGGGGGGGTCCAAATCCGCCAAAGGGGATCCGTATTTACTAGTAGATTTGGACCCCCGGGGGTCCATATCTACTAGTAGATTTGGACGGGGGGTCCATATCTACTAGTGGATATGGACCGGGCGTCCAAATCTGCGGGGTCCAAATCAACTAGGACACCGGGCCGGAGCAATTACTGATCAATTTTGAGTGTTAAAAAAAGGCAAGCCCCGCTTAGGTTGGTGCCGGATAAAAATCTCCAGCCCCACTCGGAACTTTGCTAAAAAAAAGTTGCTGCCCTCCACTACTGTCAGTAAAGAAAGCTTGTGACCATGTTCAGCTATAATAGAGGGAATCGCTCGAAATGTGCGGGAGGTCTGACACTGCGAACCCTGCGGGTCTGAACTTCTCCTAAAGAGAATAAATCGCGCCCTTGCCTCTCACTTGTAGTTATTTGATCTCCTGGCACTGACGAAGATTATGTGCTGCCACATGCATGATGCAATAATACATTCATCTGCAGCTTCTGGATATTGGAATGAATGAATGATTACTTGCTTTGTGCCCCGCTTCTATGCAGCTCGAAGAAAGTATGTAGCTACTCCGTCCCCCTTTTGCTCCGGCCCCGTATAAAATATATCAATTTGCATGGCCCCTTAGTCACTTAGCCGGTGAGATGCCCAAAATAATCCACTCGAAATTTCCATCTACAAATCCCTTCAACGTATTAACCTTCAGTTATTGACGCCCAAAATGGCCTACTATATTCGGCCATATATTCGTTCGGTTGAATTGGCCTTTCTCACGATGACGAATATCCGCCATTTTTGGGTGGCATCAAATTTTCATTATCCAATACAGACAATTCATGATCAAACAATGTGAAAAACAATTTTTCAAAATAAACTAACCATTTACATTAAGCAAATTTACCATCATTTGTCTAAAAAATTATAAAAGGTCGCTGTTATGTGGACTTATCGCACAGACTTCAGCTGAAAACCCAAAAATGGCGGCGTGAGAAAGGCTAATTAATGAGCTTAAGCAAGTGACGTTTTTGACAACACGGACGTCGACCGGAAGTAAAGTTGACGTTTTTCACCAATCACAGCCCTTGACCCAGTCTTCTGACGTTACTCATGCCGTTCGTGTTGTCAAAAACGTCACTTGCTTAAGCTCACTATTGGCCGGCGTGACTAACGTGCAATCGACCTATACTGTATATAGATGAGCGACAAAGGATACAAAACTTTGGTGTTGTACCGTACAGTCCGTACTGATCCTTCCGGTAGGGCCTTTTTAAACTATATAACAGGGGACCAAAGCCACCATACCCCACGGTGCCCCCTCACTCGACCATTTTGGCCATCAGTCAAAGTCACTTTTCTCTAAAATATAAGCAAAACATGGAATTTAGAAGGGAGGTTTGACATTCCGTAGTAACTGGAATTTGCTTTGTGAATCTTATGTCCTGTCTTTACTCTTTAACGGCGAATGCTTTTTAAAAACTCTAAACATTGTGTTGTGACTAACCTTAGATTTTAAAAATTTTCCAGTGAATTGCATATCCCAGAACCATATAGATTTGAGTTGTTGGAAGACTCGGCTAAACTTGAAGTTCTTGACCGCAGAAGCAGGGGGCTGGGGTTCCACAACCCAATATTTTGCTATATCTTTCGGCTGCCTCAAAAATAATTGAATTTAAAAAACTGATGGCCCTGCCTTCCGGGTCCATCTTTCCCCTCCCTATTACTTTATCAGCTTATGTCGTTATGAATATAGGCTAAGGTGATTGATGCTGTGTAGGTATATATATAGTTACAGAGAAACATTTTCACAAATTATTAATTAATGGGACTGATTCGTGAACCATTGTACTTGCAAATACTATGAATATACACTCAAATATGCATGTACAAATTCATTGTGTGAAAAACTGAGCACTATATCGTATTTTTATATGCAAGTATGATGGTTTTAAAAAAATGTTTATAGTAAAACCTTACTACAGTAAACGCTGCATGTTTCTGAACATATTGATTGGCCCATAAACAAGCTAGGGAACACGTTAGAAAGAGAGTTGTTTTATTTTCCTCGAAAAATAAATAAATGGTTTGAGTGCCTTGTTTTTTCCATGTATCCATGACAACAAAATTATGCGAAAAATGTTTAATTTCGAAGTACTTGGAGATTTCAACGTAAACTAATGTTTTCACCATCGCGTATCCTTCGGAGAGTACTCGGACAACCGTCGGTATTATGAAAGAACAGACACCCAAACCATTTATTTATTTCTTATTTTTCGAGGAAAATAAAACAAATCTCATTAATCTACGTGTTCCCTTGCCGTGAACGGTTACGACTCCTTACTCGCGGAGCCAAAACTACAGGACTTCAATAGACCTTCCTAACCTAAAATAGCTAATGATGTTAAATTAAACAACGCGGGAAAACACTTAATTAATGTGATGTCACAAGGGACAATTTTTAGCAACATTTCGCATTGCAAATGTTGTTTTTATGAAATTTGTTGGCTCACCGACTTGCATTCCAAATCGTCGCTAAATTGTCGCTAGCAATTGTCCTTTGGGACATCCGCATAAATTGGTTTTCCGCGCATTTGACCTCGACAATTATATAAAGGACATAAAGAAAAGCAGTGTAAAAAATTAACCATTTTATGAAAATTTAAAACGTACGTTTTTAATATAAAGTTTATTTTTAATTTGAGTAACGCCTAATTTTCATTTTTCGAAACTAATATAATGTTGATTACCACTGAAAGCTGAGCAGGCAGTAAAATTGTTGCATCCAAAGCATATTGATCTCCAGGGGCGAAACTTGAGAAGGAGGGATGGGAGGAAACTTGAGAAGGGGGGATGGGGGGAACCCCCCCCCCCAAATACGAATCATCCCGATTGGCAGGGCAGTCAAAATGCGAAAAGCAACTTATTACAGCTAGCAAACAATAAGCAGTTCGTATGGATGTACATTGGCATCAGCAGTTCAATTATACACGTAGCTTAGTGATGTATTGTATTAGCGCTGGCGCTGTAGGCTGCAGGGCAACATGGATTTGGCAGGGCAATTCTGCCAGACACCCCGTAATTGAAAGGGGCTAGTTTCGCCCCTGTTGATCTCCTTCACGTTCGGATGACGGCTAGGAATGTACAGCTACACGTTGCTATATGACTTGCCTTGTACAGTTTTATTGTATTGTCTAAAATAACTAAAAAAAACTAGTCTGTAGCCAGTAACTTCTTTTGCAGTTTTTCATTCCGTTGCTTCGTTTACGAGATATTTCAGTTAGTTTGATATACGTGTCATGGCTACGTGACAAAATTCATGATGAGTTATATCAGCTAGATTAATTAAAAGTTGTATATCCTTGCTATTATCAAACAAAATCGCATTATAGAAGTATGTCTAGTTGTGAATTTGTGTTGTTCTACAGCATCAAATAGATGGATTCTCTGGTATAAATTTTATTTCATAATAACATGAACATTTTCAACAACTACTCACTGTGCAATTCGTGACGTAGAAACCATGACACGTGTATAAAATAACTGGATATCCCGAAAACGAAGCAACGGAACGAAAAGTACAAAAGAAATTACTCTATAGTTTGTATAGTTCTTTTAAATAAGACAATAAAAAATTTCATTTTATGTTCACTCAAGCAAGCATATAAAGTGTTGCATTTCAAATTTCGCTATAAACTCATTTTCATACATGCACCAGAATACGAATCGTACACGATCGACAAATCGCAGCATGTAAACGTACCTTAGCTTAAATCATGTTTCACGACACAAAAACAATTCACGAGAACAAATATTGGCAATTCACGACTCACGAAAATACCGCCGTCCTAATTTATTTACCATCGTGATAGGTGATAGACATCGTGATAGGTGAAAAGTCTTAAAAAAGTAGGAATTGGAAAAATTTAATGAGTGACCGTTCGTCTTATTCTTTGAACAATATGTTATATGTGCAATGCATTTGCCATTTGACTATATTAAATACTACAAATTAACCACGCCGTCCACAAGTCACCAAATTTTATCGGCCTAAATTAATCACATCACAAAAAAATATATGTATTTCATGGAGCTAAAGTGTATTAATTGACGTATGCAAGTGAGCAGCTTCGAACATTCCTCATTGCGCACATTTCACGTTGTTCTTTAAACCATCTTTCATTTCTTCTTCCTCAACAACTTTTAACATATCCTCAAGCGCCGTCCTCAGATCCGACTCGTTCGCGCTTGCCGAGAGATCTGGCAGTGACAAATACTGATCGTCCTCATCATCGTGAAGTTCAAAGTTCACTTTTGGATCAGTTTCTCCAGTGCTAACGTCATTCGCGGCTGGATCACATGCATCCCCAACGGACTTAATGGCTTCCTTCTCTTCCAAAACACTCGGTCGCGATTCCTTTCTATGCTCTCGAACGCTTTGAAAATGCTGCTCTCTCACAGCACTGTATATTGCTAGTCCAATATCTTTGAGTGTCTCGTCAGTTTCACACCAGACCACAAAACACTCCATTTTTGCCGGTGTTTTCTCCATGTGATGATTAAACGCAAGCAGCTGAACATCTGACTTCATAAACGTTCCATAAGAAAGCTTCCGAATTGGTATAATCTTTTCAGCTGATTTTTTCTGTTTCTCTCTCAAATGAAGTCCGTCTTGCAAGACCCGAAGCGTAACCTTTGGTAAAGATCGTTCCTTGCCTTTAACTATAATGTCACCGACCAGTTGTCGAATGGCTTCCCGAATTCGTTTCATGTCTGGCTCTACAAGCACTGTACTGCCGAAATATTTCACTTCGTAACTTCGTTGCTCCGTAATCTTCTGTAAACCGCATTCCAAACCGAGTTTTCGCTTTATCATCTTGTCTTCGTCTTCCTTCTCGCCTTCCTATGAACGAAATTGCACCGTATTATTATACTGTTGTTATCGTAGATTATTTACTTTACGTCCGTAATATTAGCGCTTCTCCGAATGGAATCAATTTCCATATCACGAGCAACATGAATACGGCAATTAAATTGCAGCCCTTTTATTGGTAGGCGACGATAAATATATACCCAGCAGCCATGCTATGGCACCTGCTCCGCCTGATGTCAAATTCGATGTTAATACATAAATGGCGCGATAGCAATTGCTAGAACTGAATGTCTGAATATAAAAAATATCATATACTTGCCGCGATGACGACATGCTAAAAATATTCAAACTAATGAATCATGCATACGAACACTTCAATGAATTTCCTGCACATAAGTTTTCCCTTTCAGCATGACAGTGTTGAAAAGCAATATCGAAATATAAATAACCCCAAGCCTGCCAGGCAGACGGTCTTTCCGCGGCGAAACACCCGAAAGGCGGGCAACTACGCTATTCCATTAAACCTCGTCCCAAACAATTGAACTGGCAACGCAAATGAATGTATGTACTATGATGATTGTGGGGCATATACCAGAAACAGCGGATTGTTTTATGATTGTTTGTTTCAGTGGCACCATAACTGCAATTAGTGGATTATTCCTGTTGAGCTATTTACAGTTACCGAACTGGTGCTTACATGCATTTGAGTTCTGCCTATGGATCCAGTTTTAAGCCTGGTTCACATTGATCGGCGATGTTCTACGATCCATTGTCTGTGAGCAACGAAGAAGAAAATGCACAAAACATTTTATGCATCAATGACCACCGACAATGGGAATCGCCGATGTTTACGATCAGGCTTTAATAATCCTGAGGGTATTTGACTGAATTAATGAATACGAATACTGGAATTACGTCTATCAGGCGAATTTGTTCGCGCCAAGCAACTTTTTCCTAGTCCGCATCGCTACACGTCAGCAAAAGGGAAGCCGACAAAGGAAAAACTCGCTTCGCGCGAGAATTACCCTAGTGCCACGTAGTAGTAGAAAAACTGAAAGAAGATGGATTAGCCACTTTCAGAAAAGTTACGGGAAGTGCCTCGTGCAAAAATTGTACAACTTTCAGTGTCCGATTGTGCCTACCGCTTATTTAATTCTATAACTGACTGAAAATCGATCGGTTATATTTTTATGTCACGCAACCACGGCATAACCCGCCATAACAGTGAATTTCCATGCACATTACCATTAGCCTGCTTGCAGGCTACACATATTATATAGTATACATCTATAGTGGTTCAGTAAAAACGAAACCACGTTACGCACAGCATACGGAAAATGACTTTTTACTATTTCATAACATAATGTCAACTAATATACATATATGTTTAAAAAAGTCACTTTCCGTATGCTGCGCATAACGTTTCGTTTTTACTTGAACCACTCACTCACATATACAGTATTACAGTTACACTATAACATTTTGATATAGATGCTTGAATTAATAATAAAGGTTGTCCTTTGAAAGATAAAACACAAACTAGGTTGCTACTGACATTAATTGTACTTAACTTGTACTGTCTTCAAATACTCCGTTCGAAAGGTCGGAAAATTCTATAGTTCACGCTGATGAGAACCTATCAAATGACTCTTATCATATTTGGTCACTTTACTGATAGCAGCGCTCTTGATAATATGTTATCTTGACACTACCTCCTTGTTGTGATGATTGCAGTTAAAGCATATCCATCCATCAAATGTAAAAAAAAGTACAAATTGCTATCGCTGACGGTGTTGCCCTTAACGATATCTAGTGCTGACAAAAGTAATTAGCGGCCCTCAAAATTAAAAACCTGTGTTGCCATTAAGCAAATTCAATTAAATCAATTAAATTCTAAAAATATCTCACATTTCCATGCAATTACTAAAACACGCAATTCATAATTGTTGAAAAAGCTGTGGAGCGGGTTATATCCTCATGCTTCGCTCACGATTATATTTCTCTTTGTCACTTTGATCTTGACCCCAATTACAACCCTGCCCCTGAGGGTCACCAGCAACCCAAATGAACGGGCTTTGTGATTGGTTGATCATAATTAACAATAACATACAATTAAATAATTCCATAGAATTATTTCTGTAGAATGGGTCAAATCACAGGTCAAATAAGCCAATCAAAAAACACGATATATCATTTAATTGGTGTAGACAAATTTGGGTGAACGTTTGTGTATATTCTATAATTAGTATTCACTACATCAGGATATACATACAGTATAACTCACATGCCTAGTTAACTATTGTTCTAATGATACAGAAGAATAAAGGCAATTAAATAATCTTTAGAATTATCTGCATGAGTGAATAACTTTTACACATAAATTACTCTAATGCTATTAGTTACTTTTGTTATACTTACCCAAACTAACATAATTTTCTTGCCATTTTCCTTTATGAGGCTCTGGGTCAGGCCAGGGTGAACATGCAATGTCCGAAGATGATTGTGTGTGAATTTTGAAATGAAAACTCATAGCTACAAGTGGACAAGTTATACAGTGGTTCTATAGCAATTGGTCGAGGAGTAGGTACAACTACTACAAATAACGGCATACGAAAATGGAAGACTACAGAGCAGCACTCTACAACAGCTATATAGTGTGCATTTATCTCGGTTAATTAAAATTTAAAGATTCTTTTACCTGAAGAGTTTTGTGCTGTTACTTTGTTACTGGATCAGACTAATGGCATTTGTGGCGGATGCATGTTAAATTAAACCCTATATTATTTGGGCCGGCGATCCTATTTCATGGAGACGATTTCCTCAGCGGGTGCGAACTTCAGTAGCGTCCGGCATGAAACTAGTGATGGCAATATAAATGCGTCGGTTTCAATCCCAAGTTTTGTTTCCACCATGCATAAAATAAAACAAGGCTCCTCTCATGCAGAAACAGTTTCTTATCTTAACACGAAAATGAGGTTTGCAGATGGTGAAAAAACGATGTGCAAGAAGAAGTTAGGTGATTAATGCCAATATGGATATCGCAAAAACTCGCATGCATGTGTATCATAATTATATGTGCACATGGCCATATATTCCGTGCCTATATAAAAGATCCCGCACGTTGTCGGATTTAATTTTATGGGTGATTTTTTTACCGCACCTTCACGCGAAGGTCCACTGACGATTCCATGACGATTCCACTGACGATTTTCATGAAACAAACTACACATACTTTTACTACACTCTCGCGCGCGAGTTACATTTACTCATGCGCGGGAAGGTGCGGTAAATTAACTTCAGATTGTTTCTGGGATTTCTAGTGATCCATGTATTAAAGAAGGACGACGATTTAACCGATCATGCAAGCTCATGAAAATCGCCCAAATGAATGATATATAAATATCAGCTCAGCAAATGTAACCCCAATGATTAATAGTAAAAAGGTATAAAGCCGGATAATTAAACGAAAAAACATATACTTTCTTTTGAACACATGCAGCCGCAATGAACCGTTGCTGACCGCAATAACTAGTTTGATATTTTTAATATAACTGAATACTTGCAAAAATTAAAGATTTGTGCATAGACTCAGTATCACCAATGCTGGAAAGGTGATAGAATAAGGCGTTTTATGGCACTTTTATTTGTGTAAGGTTTCTATGGTTAATTAATAATTCACAAAACGAAACCACAAAGCGGGTACTTGTTGGATAAAATTAGCCTAGTGAGTGCACTTGCATATAATTATATGATCATGCATGTGCCGAATTTGCATTATTTCTTATATATATGCGATTCCGTGCATTTGTGCATCTACACTGCTTTCTCTGCTTATACCGCTAACGCAGTCTTTTTATTGTATCGCTTAATACAATATAGGGTAACTAACTCCAGTGTTCCACATAATTATTCTTTTCCTTGCCTCGTTTTTGAGCCTTTTTATATGCAAATTACCTTTCCTCACCTCACACGTGCATAACGATATAATTAGAGTTTTTTATTCTGGTTGTTGTCAAATAGAAATGCTTCGTAAAATGTGTGTATCGACTGTGTACTAAAACACCAAACTTGGACAATTTTTAGTGTTTTCATGAGGTGCCAGTTAACATTCGTCACCATGCATGTGTGGCTCAACGTATACGTATAAGTCGTATAAGGTAAGTTTACATTATCAAACATACTGAATTACTGAAATAACCGAGAGACGAAGCAAAGGGGCAAAAATGTGGAAAAGAAGTTACTCTTTAGTAAATATTCTCTCCAGTGCCGGAGACAATAAAAAGGTTTTGGTGTTAGGGACATGTTACATGGTACACCCTCACCGCACTGGGGCTTAAAAAAATGCAAGCTTGCTATAAGGCAGCTGAATGCTTGCATGGAATGCATCAAATTAAAAGGACAACTTTTAAAACTATATCTCCATCAAGGTAATTGAAGACTATTAAAGAAAACACTGCCCACAAGCGTAAAGAGAATTGCCAAGATGAATATTTAATTTCCAACATAATTGTAAAAACAAAAATCTCTCGCATGGAAATACAAGACTGTGAAAGAATGGTAGAAGATACTGGCTGAGATTGTTGTTGAATGAAGATATTAAATGTCGGAGTCAGTTATAAGGCTAATTCAAGACTAAGTGGTACTTCATTATGGCCTATTGGAAATTGCACAGAAATCATAATTTTCGCTTAGTCGATATTCATGTAATCTGCAACTTTAACAATTTTAGAAATGCCAGGTTCTCGTGATAGTGCATATACTGATCAGTTAGCATACTGTAGCATTCTACACGCATAGCTCCTGTTCGATAACTTCGATATCGTAACGCGGTCGCAAAAACACTGAGGTCGCTGATTTATCAGAGGATCAATATATCTTTAGAATCATTAAAACGGATTGGCATGTATGTATGCATGCATGCATGCATACATGCATGCAGGCAGTGCACGAAGGAAAACTAAACTGTTCAAATTTATCTTTAGAAATCCAGATCGGAAGATCCAGACAAGATATTTACAACAGTATCTTGAATTGGTCACTATACATGTAGTTACGAAGGAACAGGAACCAGGCTAGCTAAATGAACGTGTATTTCGACTAGCTCTTTCGTTACTACGCTATAACAGTAAAGAAAGTATATATTCGTTCATACCTCAAGATTTTCAGGAATATTTTCCTTGTCATCCATTGCTGGGTATCCAAGTTGCTATGCTGCAGCACCAAATTTTATTCTTCTTCCTTCTCATGCGTGCCTGAACGTACGATATAAAACAAGACGCGAACTTAAACCAATGCGTGGGAGGCAGCAGCTATGTTTAGCCCATTGTGGCCCACATACAGCGCTAGTACACACAGGTCAAGTGCACCCAAGTTATGAAAACAATCATTTTTAAGAAGAACTGAACGTTTTAAGGTCTGTCTGCAAGATACGATGAGCCGTATGCGGACATAAGACATTTCGCCATAAACTATATATGACGAGAAATTGTGACGTTAGCAGTAATTTTCATACACAAGAACGACTTTTCGTAGTCGTGTAGAGAGGTCCTTAGTAGAACATTTCAAAAGATTTTATTAAACCGCAGTCAAGATAGCACTAAATATGTGCACCGCTTGTATAGTAGGGTCACGGGTAGTAAATTTTCTTGAGCGAGAAAAACGACTGGATAAAATAGATACGAGCATTGTTGTTTCACATGACTTCCCTGTAAAAATGCTGTTTCACATTTGCCGTTCACGTGCATACTTGCCCATCAAATTTAATTTAATTAACATTCCTCACATTCGAATTAAGTATACCATACTTTCAGACAAGACATAACAAGAATTTTGTAACAGTTTTAGAAATTTGTAAATATATATTAATATTATATAGCACTTATAATCTTGTAAATAGTTTTAAAACTCTTTATGCTCACAGTGTAGTAACGTTGTTGTGCATGATGTAGTATAGAACGAAACATGATAAGTTTAATTCATTTCTATTATGTCTTGTTTGAAAGTCATTAATTTTGCTGAGCTTTTATACTTATCTTTAATTAAATAGCCCTAGAAATTATGAAAAATATTTTGTAATTAGAAACCACTCCGTGTGAGAAACGTTTCTTCGAGGAAGCTCTCAATCTCGGTGATGTTTATTGCAGGTGTTTCCCACATGTAAGAGTTTGTGGGGAACATCTCCCAAGAATTTACTATTTTAACGTTATGCACCTGAAGGCGTGCATCTACTTCCAATCGTTCTGATTTCTTTCAAATTCAAAAGAATTCTCCGAAAAGTATTCGTTTACCGTTCTCAAAGTAACTTGTTTGTAATATTAGTAATCCATTACTGCATGCGGTATTAGCAGCCGAGGGGATCTTTTCGAAGACTGAGTAAAAGTGTATAACCTGCTGTGGTTTGCTCCTTGACTACCATAAAATTAAGACATTAATAGTTAGTGAACGCCTAGCTGCCACCATAGTTAATAGAGAAGATGTTTGGAAACTCATTAGCATTACAATAAACCTCACTATCCATGTTTCTGTTCTGGTTTATGCAAAAATGTGGTCTTTCATCGTCACGTGCGTATTGTATTTTTGGTCAACCAGCCAATAGCAACGGTTTTGCCCATCCATGACTTTAACAATAGGACATTTGAACATTCCTATTGGTTGACTTGAGAAAAATACAATACGCACGTGACGATGAAAGACCACATTTTTGCATAAACCTGAACAACATAGATAATGAGGTTTAATGCTCATTTTATTGTAATGCTAACGAGTTTCCAAACCATCTCCTCTATTAACTATGCTGCCACAAGGCAGTTATCCATGCGGTAACTTTTCAGACACCCCTAGCTTCAAACTCGTAAAAACTAAGGGATCGATAAGCCATACTTTTAAGTTTGTATTCAGTCAGTATTCATACTGAAAATTAAAATCGAGTGAGCTTGTACCCTTTTGTTCTACGTGAGATTTCCGTTTTAAGTTTTATGCGAAGATCTTTCGTTAGTCAGCGACTCGATTTGCTAATCTCGCTTCTAACGAAGGGCGTTCAATTTCGACGTCGAAGTGTTGTTAGGTAGGCCCGACACAATAGCACCCCATGACCCCACGTTTGAGATATACAAGTGCATCATGACTCTCACAACCAAATTTTGGAATTCCTTCAGTCGCGGAATGCATGAGCTCTGAAATTTCTAGTTTCCACAATCATTACTTGATCGTTCATTCTTTCTGCAGCGTGTTGTTCGCTGACGATGCCCAACAAAGATTTCACTTTGAAAGTGAAGACTGATCAGCTTGAAGATGGAATAATCCTCAGTAATTTAGGTGCCAGAAACGCTATTTCCCGAATTTTGAGGCATTGAAAAGAGAATGGCTACAAAAATTATGGTTGTTCATTTTGAAAGAATGTTGGGATTATGTGCAAACCCTTTTTACAAATTCGCCAACTATCTTAATTTTCGAATAATTTAAACCAAATATCCAACCATCCGCCATCTTGTTTTATAATTAAATCTATTTAGATGACGTCACAACTAGAGTGGACATTTGTAAAACAAAAACTACGGAAGGCTCACACATAGTTTCGGATTTAGTTTGAAACAGACAATAGTAAAAAATAAGATTTAGCATTAAAATGAAACGAGAATGACTCAATATGCACAATAATTATATTTTGTGTGTTGGTGTAATGTACTCAGGTGAATAAGATGCTTGTGATGTTACTCTGAGTGTATATCCACACCGGGCAAGCTTGAATATGCCTGGCCACGGTGGGAATCGAACCTACGACCTTTGGATTACTAGCCCAATGCTCTGCCAACCGAGCTACGCGGTCAGGTCGCGCGTGGTTCGAGTATCTGATATTTCGGAACTGAGTCTAGTTCCTTCGCCGTCAATGTAATCTACTAATCATGATATTTTCTGTCGTAAAATAGGTCGTAGGTTCGATTCCTCACTACCGTGGCCAGACATATTTTCAAGCCTGCCCGGTGTGGATATACACTCAGAGTAACATCGCAAGCATCTTATTCACCTGTGTGCATTACACCAACACAGAAAATATCATGATTACTAGATTACATTGATATCGAAGGAACTAGACTCAGTTCCGGAAATATCAGATACTCGATCCGACCGGACCGCGTAGCTCAGTTGGCAGAGCATTGGGCTAGTATTCCAAAGGTCGTAGGTTCGATTCCTGCCCTGGCCAGGCATATTTTTCAAGCCTGCCCGGTGTAGATATACACTCACAAAGAATAACATCACAAACAACGCACAATAATGTTACCGTGGTTATGACGTCAGGCATACCCAACATGGCGAAGTGCATAATGATTTTGTTTGAAATGAAATGAATTGAAATGTAATATATTTTATTTCAAGCTAGAACGATAAAGAAAATCTGTAAAAAAGTTTTGAAATAGACTGAATCTCTATGACTGTGTCTCTATTGAAATGGGAGAGACATTATCGCTATTTCTCTTTAAATTATATGGTGGCGGAGATCGCTTCCACAAGGATTACCCGCGAAAGTAAGCGAGCTATCCAAGGGCGACCTCTTCCCTTCAGAAATTCATACGCATAAACTGTGCGAAGATCTGGCGTCACCCAGATCGTTATTTTCCTTACTCATTAGTTTAAGGCAAAGAAGCAAGATGAAGCATATGCATTATAAACTATAAAGTCATGCCATTTGCATGTGGTGAGCTGATATGAAAAATCTGGAATATAGAAAAGTGGAAACCCAGACTGTTAATTAAACAATTTTGTTATCCTTATCCATCCAGGAATGTCATTGAATGTAGTTATAAAATGTTTCGTCTATATTAATTTTGTGTCGCAGAACAAACACCGGCGAAAAGCGTCTGCGCATGCGTCAACCTTGACTGAAACTTAACTTGCGAATTTGATGCTAAAGTATCCCGAAAGTTGGAGGTTAAAACGGAAGTTAAAACTAGGAGTGATCGTGATCAGTGAAGTGAATATAACTGGAACGCTACCTTCAGATAAACTGGCGGACACGAGTGTCAGGGGACCAAGAATCCGGAGTATTTATCGTTCGCGGTTCTCTCGGGTAAACAATTATTCGAAAAAAAATAAGAAAAAGCTAAAAGTAAAGTCTACTAGGAAGTTTTAATTACTAAGTAAATGCATTAATAGAAAGCTTTGTGCGCCGTTAAACAGCTTTTTTTGTACATTTTAAGCCGGTTTTCAAGAATACATATTTAGGAATTGACAGCGCTCTTTTGCATGCATGAAAAGACTGGGGCAGGCGTTCATGTTTCAGTTCCAAATTTCCGTTTGGGGATACAGTTCCAGTTATATTCATTTCGCTGGGAGTGACTTCCTTGTGTGCCTTTCCTGTACGTAATTATAATTTGCAAGTAAAATAATAAATATGTCAATCTAAAAACTTTAGGCAATGCTAAAATTCAGCCGGTAATGAGAATCATATATTCGTGTCATGGCAATGATGAATTTTATGCAAAATAGTCCCTATAGTTGTTAGATAGAAAACAGTGCAGTGTGAAATACGATCATGTAGTACATGCTTATCCCTGTCTACATATGTTGAACAGTGTTAGAAAAAGTGTGAGCGGAAAATTGGGATGAAGCATCACGGTATGCACCCTCGTACCCAGGCTCTTTGAAGAGGCTGGGTACAAGGTTGGGCGGGAGGACTGGGTTTGAAGTGAAAATCAGTTGGGATGGCGGGATTTTGGAACCCGACACAGGCCCCTCTCAGTGTGTGTGACGCTTGCTTAATGTCACTTTATATCATGAAAACACCGATTTCATCATTTTTTAAACATTTTTATTGATTTAAATCGGTGAAGGATTTGTAAGAAATTAATGTTTAAGGGAACTGACTTAAGCCAGTTTGCTCAAAAAGTTCTTACAAATCCTTCAAAACGTAGAATTTACCGATGCAAAATTCCTACTGTGATCACTGAAACTTTGATAGTGTAAATCAGGCAGTTAATATCGCTCATAACTGATCTCGATCGTATATACCTGAATAAAATGATATTGATTTTTTACTTGCTATATCCGTTTTTTCTTTGCGCTCATTGTTTTACGAATACTCTCACGGTCGTTCAGTGGAAAAAACGAAAGCCTATATAAGTTAAAATAACTCTAAGTAATAGAGACTAGCTTCAGATTGTGACAAATATTTTTCAAAATTTATAACATGTCGAAATCACGTCGAAAAATGATGAGAGATATGCGAAGGGAAGAGGGCGAGAGGCGAAAAACCTGGCACGAAAGGAATGGCGGCCCATCACACCGTTACTCATGGCAAGATCAAATCGATCAAGGTATAGCGGTCAATAAATGTTTAAGTGGACAGTTTACCACTTGAATTTACTCTCGTTACAAAAATTATACATGCTAATGTATTATGGCTTTGGGTGTACTCTTGAATATGGTCAGTTTGAATATATACGTAACGAAATGGCAGTATAACCGTATATAGCAAATTATTATATTGTATGTAGAGTGGTAGACCCAAGTTTGATAGAGAGTATCTCGATCTGGTCGATCGTATTTAAATTGAACAAACATCATTAATACCAGAGTAAGAATTAACAAAAGCATTAAATTGAAGTGTGCATAAATGTAAACGGTTTCCTCATTATCATGACAATATTATTGATGAAGCCTTGTGTCAAAATTTCACTATAATTGGCTTTCCTATCTTCTCACTGAAAAATTCGCAAGTGTTTCATAAGGCCGTTCAATTTTTTACCTAACTTTGGTTTAGCCACTTTAATGCTCCGAAGACGCCTCAATTGAGTGTGTAAAAACGTACTATAGCACTCCAGGTCATGTTTAATTTCGACTGGAGTGATTTAATAATGTGCTAGCAATGTAGGAAAATGTAACGATTAACGCCTCATTATACATTATATAGCAATTATTAAAGCTATAACAACGAGTATAATATGACATAGCCGGCATAATATGCAACGCTATTATATATTAAGTCGAGTGCTTGAATTATCACGAGTTAACTGTAAATTCCTTGAGCCAAAAATAAATATAATTTATATTCAAGCTATTCAGAATTTGAATTTAATGAGTTTGTCAGTGTAAAATTTACATCAAGGTGAAAGAAATGCAGGACCTGAGTCCCTATTGAGATCAACCACCTAAAAGAGGAGGTTCCGAGGTCATACAAGTAAAATGATATTTTGGATTCTTTATGCCCAGCTGTAATTACCGCATTAATTAATTCTGAACTCAATTATTAAGTTGGCGTTGATTCATGACCCATCATCCATTATTATTTTTAGCTTTCGCATGCAACTGTGTACTGATTAAGTTGTACAATATAATTACTCGCTACCACATTTATCAGAATATTTGCTATACGCGTCAAGCTTTGTTATGTAATTAAGCCAGGTTCACACGTCGTGTCCGTGCTAAGTGAAACAAGGAATGACATAAAGAAAAATAAAGAAATGTAATGAAAAGTGCGACATAAGCTTCGACAACACGCAGAAACCACTTTCTTTACTCCTTATTCAGGCATATCTGTTTCGTTCGAACTAAGCTATAGCCCATGGGGGGTGGGGGGGGGGGGGCTACATAAAAATTGGGCAATTGTACATGGAAATGATGAAAGGGAAGAGGACGATGCGCATTAAATTGGTGGCAAATAGAAGGAAATATGTGTCTCAATGCATGTTTCGACAATTTTCTCCCCCCCCCCCTCCCGCAAGGAAAACAATTTCACAACGTGAGACAAATGTTCGCCCCCCTAATTTTTTCCCTCCCGTACGCCTATGCTATAGCTTGCGCCCAGATATATAAGTTACCTACTAAAGCATGCACATTACACTGGGAAAAATAGTGAAATTTGCGTTGCATCACTAAATCCATAGTATATCCATACTATATATTATATCGGCATAGTATGGAAATTGCAAATAGTATGAAAATTGGATTTCCATACTACTTAGTCTACTTCCAAGGAAGATCAATACTATTTCCATAGTAAGGATTTTGAAATAAATTCTCAGTGTTATTTTGTCCACTGACCACTTTCTCCTCGAAGGATCAAAGCTCTTAAGAAATCAATGATGCACGATTGCAAGCACATTGTGTACTGATTGCAAGAAATGCTGGGCAAGGCGTTCATGCAGTTAATATTTGCATGTACGTATATAAAATTGAGCATTAAGCCAATATACTGTAGACCGGCACTACGAGTAGCTACGTTTACCGGTCTTAATGCTACAATTCCCAAACCCTTTTAAAAATCGTATACTGGGGCGCTAACATACAATACATGCATGTATATAATTTAAGACACTTCGATCGCAATCGTCCCGCGTAAATTTGTACATAGGGGGTGGACCTTTAGATATACTGAGAGGGAAGTGGTAGATCAAAAACAAATTTGATGCGAAGACTGCGGGAATTTGAAAAACATTCGCACGCAAGCAGTTAGGGAAGGAAAAATTCCTCCAACCAAATGGAATATACAGAAATATAAGATCAAATCTCTGCACAGCTTCTACGCCGTATAAACAAAAGTCAGTTGACAATTCCCTAAAAATTACCTTACGTGGTCCCCTCACATTGCTAAAGTCAACCGTTTGCTTGGTTTTCTTCGCAGAAATTATTCTCAAGTGACTGATACTCGCTGCCGTCGGCTGCTCTATTTCCCACTCGTCTGATTTCATTGTCTTACGCCAGTGAGATCTGCGCATCTCAAGCCTCGTCACGCGAGCTACTAAATTTGTTCTTCAAAATTATCAGTTGTCTTATATTGAGCGTCTTAGGAAACTTAATTTATTACGTATATCTTACTGGCTTGAAATAAAGGATCTCACCTTTTTTTCCAAATGCAAACAATGCCTCTATTAGGCTCGATTTCCAGCCGGCTTCGGGGCCGCGGAGCCTCTATATACGACCTAGATATCTCCTCTTTTGTCGCCTGTTTTTCTATAATCGCTCGTCTCGCTCCCGTTGAAGCAAGGACAACTTGCTTCAAGTCAATCCGTGCAAAACCTCTCTTTCTAGAAACTCTTTTTTAACCGAATTGTCTTTTTATTGAACAATCTCTCTCCGATCATTTGTAACAGCTCGTTTGTTTCATCCTTTACGCTCCATCTATACATATTCACTATACTCTTCTCAATTAGACTCTTCTTTCGATGTTAACAGAATGTGCACTTGGAAAACCTACTGCTCTTAATGCCGTTCTTTTAACTTAATAAGCTGTTGCTTATAATCTAACCTATTAATTTTTAACTAGAATAGTTATGTAAAATGTGTTTTCGTCAGGTTGGTCTTCACATCCTGTTGACCATACCTTCAATCATTGTTATATATTTTATAGCACTTTTGTATGATTGCATGTAAAGCTAATAAATAAATAAATAAAATTCAAAGCTCCGAACCAAAAAATTCTTGCAAGGAAAATAGTTTCCCCTCCTCTTTCCCAGGATATCTAATTGCCCACCCCTAACCTTAGAAAACTCTACTAGTTGATTTTTCCCGTTCGAAGACAAAGGAGAAGCCATGCGGGATAAAGTATACTCTTCTCTGACATCGATAGTAAAAATTCTGTTCCGATACTGATTATTCGCCATGTAAAAATACAAATCTAAACAAATAAAAGTCTACACAACAA